ACGGTCATCGAAGCACAAATACATGAGTAAATAGCTGTACAAATTTGAATTTGGAATTCCTTACCAAAGAGGAGAACATCGTGATTAAAGTGGCCAGTACGAAATACGCCAATTTCATATGTAAGGACCTAATATATGTGATTGCAACTCATTCACCGATAGGATTAGGTAAATGTTTTGTTATTTGAAACGAAATACTTTCCATACTTTATACTCGTAGGTAGTCTCATCAGGTCTCAATTTGAAAGAGATATAACGTGCATTAACAATTAAGTATAAAGTAGCTGTTCGTACAAATAAATAAATCTTAAATGATGATTTATATTCTATGTAGTTGGAATGGAATCTTCTAGTAGCGCTGACAAGTGAGCAATACCTATTAATGCAGATCAGTGCATAATGAAGTAGGTCATTGAGGATTGGTTAATAAATGCTGATTGCAGCTCAGTTCCGGAGTTATTAACCTGCGCCGTACGATTGCGTAATACAATTATATTAAATTCTTAATTAATGGTTAAGTAGTGACTGCATCGGAAACAGTTAATCCGATAAATATATTCATATGGAAATTCGTCGGGAAATGTAATTTGTTTGCATTTAGAGAGTAAACGATGTTTTCTAAATAATTAAAATGTAAAGCTGTGACCTTACGATTGACATCATAAGGCTCTTTACATACGAGCGCGGATTGCAATTTTCCATAATCGTTTAATAAATTATACTTTAAAAACACTAAGGACATAGAAATCATTTTATAGAAATCACTTAATCCATTAAGCATTGCTTTTATCTGTTTGAAAGTGCATTGACAATGATATTCGTATAACGTTAAACTGAATTCTTTTTTTTCAATATTTATCAGGTAGTGCGATAATTATATATATAATATAATAAGTCGCCAGTACTTGGAAGCCTAATATTCTAAGCAGTGCGCCCGACGAACATTACGAATAAGTAATTAGTGTCGCTGGAACAAACTAAGGCCACGGAATAATAGATCTCATTTACATTTTACGTCTTATTTTTCTCACAAATTTATGAATTTGTAAATATCAGCCATTTATTTTATTTAAACTATCGTCAACCTTCACCTAAGATTTTAATATTGTAACGTATTTCTCACTTCACTGCATAGCCTTTGTACAACCAAAAATGTATAGTTGGTTCATTGTGCGAGTAATTAATTTAATATTAATATATTTATAATAAAACTGATATATTTCTTAATTAATATTCTCCATAATCTTTATTAAAATATTTTTTGATATTTTATATTAGTGATTTACACAATCACAAATAATGACGTTTTTTATAAATACATGTAATTCATAGTTAATTTAAAATTAATATATATTTATATTGAAAAGTAGAACATTACGTATGATACAATAACCAGAATAATAATTACTTTTGATTTGCTAATTTGAGTACGCATGTCTATCCGTCTTTTATGTATTTATTCGTTTAATAGGATTTTTATTTCAGTCTTAAATGTTTTATATAATCTATTTAAATGGCGAAGTAATGAATATGGCATTATAAATCGCTGCAATCAGTTAAGATTAGAAACGCAAAAACAGCTTATCAGTATCGGTAAGATATTGATTTGGATAACGGCCAATGTGGGTGAAGTACTAATATGCATTTTTCAAACAATAGCGACTTGATTAGTATTTTAATTCTTCACAATATTATATTATTTATATATATTACAGCTAACTTAATGAATTATCCCATCGAACCTTCTGTTAAATATTAGTAGAATGTAGAAAGTATCAAAAATTAGCTTAGACTGCTAATAAAGAGGCGCTTTGGGCCGTGTCGTGTAAATCTAAGTATCAGTTTTAATTGTTAGTTTTGCACAGAATTAGTAAAACGATTAAATCTACCTTTTTTATATTCTTAGTTTGTAGTGTCTAAAAATTTAATTGTGTCAAAAATCAGTGTTTGTTTTCTTCTGGCTTACCCAACAATTTTAGTATTTACAGAATTAGAACTTATGGTCCTACGTAGGGTCGACAAACTCAAAGACCTAGTCTTTCAGCCTGTGTTTGTGTCTCATAACTCATGAGCACATTTGTGCCAACTGTAAAACCATTTGAATGCAATCTTGTCCACGTAGAAATCGGCCGTTATATGCCGATACTGGATTGCCTTTCATTTAAAAATTCTCTAAAATTGCGTTCTAAAACAGACGCTTAATCAAGCATAGGTATACATAGGTATTATTACTATACATTACACCAAGTTTCACAGTAGAAGAAATTTGTCGGTATACGAATATTTAATAAATACAGGAAACTCGATATGAAATAAATCTGCATCTGCGTATGTGAATTAGTTATATCTAATATTGAGAACAAGGCGAGCCAGCTGTCTATCGATGTCATATAAAAACTGTAGCTTGACCATATTAAACATTGTACTAGTCATATAAATTTTAGGTATTATCTGTTGCCCTCGATTTACGATTATTAAAAAAAGTTGGTTTGATTCATTAAACATTAATTATATACAAGTGTATTGTTATAATTACTTTACTTGTATTTAAAATTCCTTAAATTAGAAGAGTAGGAAGTAAATTTATATTTACTTGTTAATACGAGGCGACATCTTATTTATAACGTAATTTATTATCCGCTCTTCTACTTGTGCTCGTAAGAACTATACAATAATTATATAATTTTTTTAAATTTTGTTTATATAACGATAAAATTAAAAACTATCCTCACTGACAAGACGTGTGTTGGCGCAGCGTCACGCGCGTTGAACTCTTATCTTCTTGATACTCATCACGCACGCTGTTCTCTTCTTATCTGTCATATTATTACTAAGCTCGTATTAATTCTGTTATTTTTTTACATTCGCTTATTGCCAGACTACGTTATACGACTACGACCATACTCGTAAAACTTTAAGAATTAAAGATATTCAAAAATTAAAAGTTAATTATTAAGTAATGTTAATGTCAAGCTGACATATATGAGCTGATAAATACTAGCTACGTGTGTAACTTAATACGGCCTGAACCCACCATCATTGTTAACATCATTATGGACGTCGCGTAGCCATTAACATTAGCTTACAATACGTGATCTAATTATATCTTACTCTGTTTAAAAGGCTTATTGTTATTCTACCCGTCGCGACAACACAAACAATATCTTCTGAACAATACGACACCATAACGAAGTTCTATGAAAAAGCCTATCGGCAATTAGCTGTCTGCTTGTTTTTCACATTTTAACTAAGTCATACTAAAAACTAACTAAAAACACCATAAAATTGTGTAGACAAATATGCACGTCCATTGAAATAAATTGTTTGAAATTGTTGTTGTATGAATTACTTTTCTAGATTATTCTAATTACAATTTATAATTCCTCACGTAACAATAAGATAATGTAAGGGAATCGATAAATGAAAGATAAGTTAAAGACAACGTTTTTATTGAGATAACTGTAGAATACATATTAATTATATTTTATTTTGTAAATATCGAATTTGTAAACATCTCCAACAATATTATGCATTATTTTAAGGCAATTGATCACATTATATTTATTATTATAAAAAGGAGTCTTTTTCCTTTCGATTGGTGGAAAATAAATGAATATCTCAGTTACAAAATAATACTGAACAATGGAAACACATGTATTTCTCTTGATTCTTGTTCTAGACATACCTACCACGAATCAACTAATTGTTCATTTTTAAACGTCAATTAAGACCTAATTCGCGGTAAACAGATAAAAATAATATGCATCGAACTATTGTACTTTAGTATTTGCACGATAACGTGTTAGTCACCTAAGAGCAAATTGATGTTAACAGTTAACGTGATATTATCGCGTATTTTAATTTAATTAATATATAATATATAGATATGCTCTCTAAGATAAGATAATAAATTTATACTATTACCAAAATATTAATTAAATTTCTTCTTTATATCCATTTGATTTACCTAAAAATTAATAACATTGATCGGTATATAAGGTTTAATATTCATATAAAATTGGTACAACACACAATCGAGTGATAAAAGCGATAATAAAAAATGCAAATAGTAATGGTTTAAAAATGATAAAATTGTGCTTAATTCTATACAAAATAAGGCACTATATTTATAAGTTAAATGTTTATTAAACATTAATTCATTGGCTAAGTAAGTACTCTTACATTACAATTTCTAAAAAGGCATATTCTTTATAAATATCTACATGGTAAAACCTATAGTTTATCCGCGAATGATTCGTTTTCAATGAATTAAAACTTCAAAGAGTGATAATAACCTTACTTTTTAAATTAATATAATATATATGTATAATAATAATAATATAAAACGTCAGCTTTAATTTAAAAAAAATCGCTTGTATTGCCGATAAAAAGTGAAAGTATAGCTCAATTTAATAATGAATAATGAATGACAATAATTTTAAATTCAATCAGGCAATATCAGTCAATACGAACAAATTCTGACATCTGTCTACTTCACTTGTTTCTGACTATTATTTCTGTTTCGTAGAAAATATAAAACAAAATAACACAACAATCCTACATTTCTTTAGCGTTTCGCATGCGAATTATTGAAAGTTTACGTTCTACCGGGAAAGCTCATAAAAAGCTACTCAATAGGGTACAGAAATATCTAACAATGGGATGAAACTATCTCACAACTCACACTGCACCATATGATCTGTCTGTATCAGCTTTCCAACGATTTAATAATTATTGCCGCTACGGATAACCATCATTTGCATTGTTCGCGGAGAAAATTAATTACTTTACAATCGATTGGCCGAAAAAATAAGAAATCGAACAGTTACTCTGACACATACCGTTAGGTTGGAGTTTAACGATCACGAATGCCCAATCCGTTACACTGTCCATATGGTGCACTCACTCACACGTGGTCACACCCGACACGCTACGGCAACTTTGTTTACTATACAATTTTGGCGTCACACGCCCAACTTATTCTTAACGAGTAGTCTCATCTAAGCGGCGCCCGCCTCTTGCTTTTGCTGGATTATAGACTCCCACTGGGCTATGAGCCGCGTAGAGCTAGGCGCTAGGAACTCTTGACCGGGACCTAGTTCACACAGCTCGGCTAGGGACTTAGCCGGCTTCAAGCTGCCCAGCGAATCGTGCCCGGAGCTATTCCTAGGCGAGGGCGACCTCAGCTCCTCATTCAAGGCTTCATATAATTCACCGATCGATTTAGTCGCCTTCAACTTGCCCGGCATGGGAATTTCTTCATCCTCAGATTCTGAAGTTGTTTCATTATCACTCAGTTCTAAGTCGAATGGCTTCTGTTTCTTTCTCATCTTCTTCAGTTCATGTTCTCTGTTTTTCATTTCTTGTAGCTCTTTTTGTATTTTCTCTTCTACTGGAACGTAGCCTTTTCTAACGGGCTTACCCTCGGGTGTCCGAGTGACGACAGCCGAAGCGGTAGTCGGAGAAACCGGATCGATGGGAGCTGGGAAGGTAAGCGTTGTTGCTAGCGGTGCAGGAGAAGGAGGTCCTACGGGAGAAGTAACGGGCAGTTTCCCTTTATTTGCAATAAACCTTTGCATTAAGCCTTTTGTTCCAGACTGAGGCGTAAATCTACGAGTGTAACCATTAGTATTTAGTAATGTGGTCGTTGTGGGGAGAGAAGGTGCTATCGGTCCCAACAACTGTGAGGTAGAAACCGCTCTACTAAGGATTTTTGGAGGTTTGTCTAAACCATTACCGTTAACGTAGCCATTCTGATGGGTAACGTCAAGAGTAGATTCCGACATCAGCCTGTTTATTCTAAAATGACCTTCTTTAAATTCCTTCTCTCTTTCTGTCACCTCGTAAATTTCTCTCTGGATCCTCGAGAGGGGATCTTCCTTCAGCAATGACTGAAAAATAAATATTTACTTTTTAAACTTTGACAACTAAAAGAGCTTTAAATAAAACGCGTGGCCTAGTTGGACATAGATTTCTTAAAATCGTATTTGTTTTGTTTTCGTATGAGATTTTCCCGCTTAACGTTTAAAAAATCAAACGAATTTTTGATACTTAAAAGAAAATAATAAATATTTAGGTGATACTAATATTTATAAATTTTGGGAATTAAATCAAACATAAAATTATGAAATAAATAATGATATATAGACAATAATTACGCCTCTACAATAACTATTTTTGTAGATTTAGTGAGTCAAATATAAATTTAATCACGAAATTCTATTATTATATTAACAAAAGATTGTAATGATGCAAACATACCTACATCGCGAGCCTAGCTTAAGTAGCCTATAAGAGAAACATAGAAAACCTGGAGTGCCAGAAAATTTAAGACGTGTAACATAGCATTATTTATCTATATACTTAGTGATATATATTATATTAGAGTATAAAAACTGATTATCTAAAGAAACAGTTTTGCGTACAAGGTTCTTTTGTTAAGTGGTGGTGATAAATGAAATCGGTCGATAGCCGGAATTATTATATAGATAAGACAATGCCCACTCATTTGTTATTGCAAGAACGTTCGAGGGTAATAAAAACGAATAATATTATATCGGCTCTTATCAGATGTATAACAGTATTATAATCTTACGCGCCGCTCGCCGTGTCCCATTGGCCCCGGAAGAGCTTTCTTTGGCCCCACAAACGTTTCCAAAGTTATTTAGCGCGTAATTATAGTAGAAACACGAGTTGGCGTCGTTATAAACTGTATCCCGAGCGTCGACCTACGAACTTGCGCGCGAGCCTTCCAGTTACTGACCAAATAGAGCAAATTCCAGAGATAGATATACTCACTTCACCCATGTTTAAGTAATCCGTGAACAGGAAATAGAACGAGCACAAAACTTCACTATGCACACATGACGGTAGCGACACCTGCCACGATTTAAGCACTTTTTTGCTTCGAGAAGAACTGCGACACACGTCAGTCAGCCGGCACAGGCTAACGTCCTCTGAGGAGCGCGGAGTGCGGACCGTGGAGTGTCACGACCGGCGTCGCGCGCCGACCTAGAGCTACGCACCGCGCGGCTCATCAGCAGCAATGATATTTACCTGTGCAATAAAGAAACTATTGCCACAGGCTCTACTTGGATGTTTTAATTTAACAATTCAAGTATTGTACACATTGAAAAGGTCTACAGAAAACTACGCGATGGTATATGTCTATCTCTTATCCCACAATAACATTATTTACTTTTTACGACAAAGAAGGGCTAATTTTTGAAGCGATTTTAACCAATACAGCATTAATCCTGCGCGTCGGAGGCCGCGGTTCTCCCTATACTCTATATATATAGCACTTTGAATTTAGTATCAGCATTGCATCCGTGCGAAGCCGGGGCGGGTCGCTAGTAATATATAAACTAATAAAACAATAACTAATCAAATTATAAACGTTGCATGTCACAAGCAACATCAAGCTTACCTATTCAGAATCTCCTAAAAACATGCCCTACCCTTTTGCGGGAGCAGTGGGGTAGAAACGATACATCCTGTCCACTGTTCCTGTAGGGAAACGTCAGACGGTCGTCAGGTTGTGAGTTACAGTCCCTTCGAAATCAGTGGCGCGGAAATCCGTGGTTTAAATTTCAAGTGTGCCGCATCGGTATAAATGCTTTACCCAATATCATGTACTTTAATATTTTCAAAGCGCTATTCCACATCAACTAAAGTATTTTGGTTGTGTACTCTTTAGAATCTCAAAAGAAAATAAAATACTGTATACATAAAATGTATCATAATAAAAAGGAAGTGGTCTCGAAAACGGCAAGTTTAATATCCATTCAATTTTCGTTTCTTTCTAGCTAATCTAAAGATTTTTTTTAAAAAGACAAACGAAAAGGTAGTAAGTACTCGTTTTTAATTAAATTAACTGTAAAATATAAAGTTTTCTGAATAAAAAACATTATGTGACTAATAGCATATATTATATTATAATAGTTACATAAATAAGTAGTATGTAATTAGACTGTTTCAGTCTACTTTAGCAATTAATATGTTATACATAAGCCTATAAATAGCATAAATGTAACTAAAATAGTGCATTATGCTCATGCTTTAACACTTATTTTACTACCTACATAATGTAGTACATGAGATCTAAGCAAACAGAAATTCCAAAATTGGTGTTCTCCACTAGATCAGGTATTGTATTCTACACTATAAAAGTTACTTATAATCAGTCTTTCAATAAGGATGTACATATTCACTTAATGTATATTAATATATTTCATAGCTTTAGATCTAAACATCGAACTTGTGAGTTTTGATGTGCCTTGTGAGATCACTAGTGCGGTAGTATCCTTTGTGACAGTATGGGCATACATAGGGTGTGTTCTTCGAATGATGCTTCAACAGGTGGCACTCTAATATATATGCTGTTGGAAAAGTCTTTTTGCATTCATCCATTGTACACTTAAATTTATTACAGCTCTCGTGTTTGAAAAACATGTGGTACTTTAATGCACCTTTGAGGGCGAAGGCGACATTACAAACAGGACAAACATAGGGCCTCTCTCCGGTGTGCCGCCTCATATGTACTTCCAGATTAGAAAATGTTTTCATACAGACATTGCATTGACCCGATTTCTCTGAGTGAACTCTTCTTATATGATTCTGTAGATTTCCTTTCATAGAGAATGACATCCCACAAATATTACAGATGTTTTTTTTCTCCCTTTGATGCAAGCTCATATGCACTCTGAGGCTTGACTTAGTTTTCAGAGATTTATTGCACAGGTGACATGTGAATTTCCTTTCATCACTATGGACACTTTGATGTTTTACCACCAGATTTCGATGAGCAAATTTCTTGTTACATAGGGGACAAGCATAAGGCTTCAAGCCTGTATGAATAGTTTGATGGCGATTTCTTGATGTTAACTGTTTAAACCTCTTAGGACAGTACATGCAAGCAAATGGTGTTTCGTTAGTGTGAACACGAATATGAGTTATGATGTCATTTTTACTAAAGAAACTATTGCCACACTTTTCACAAGTGAACTTGCGCTCTCTGACAGAATGATAGACATCTATATGGCGTTTTAAATTACCTTTGCATGTGAATCTAGCATCACATTGATCACATATGAATGGTTTTTCTCTTGTGTGAACACGCATGTGTATCTCAAGGGCAGAATTGCTTTTAGCAAGAAGTCCACATACCACACACTGTGCTTGTGCATTATTGCTAAGCCTTTTTCGAGTTTTTTTCACCTTACAGTCTTCTAGTTTACTTTCTTTTATATCATTCACAGTGTCTGGAAAACGTTGTACAGCTGAACTTTGATCTTCACATCTGTCTGCAGTACTGAAATTTGTTTCTTCAGTATTAATATCATCAGATTCAAGTTTTAAATCGTAATGATAATCATAATTCTCAGGGTTCAGGCATTCTAAAGCTTTTTCTGAAGCCTCACATTTAAGCACAAATTGATAACAGGCGTTAAGCTCTCCTACACATTCTTCACAGATATGTGTAGGAAAACCGTCGTCTTCATTCATTGATACATTTATAAACCGTGCTAGTTTTGTACAGTACTGAATTTCATTTGATTGCGCAGCATAAAGAGAAATAGTCCCAGATTTGTCTAAGCAAATTCTGCATATATTCACCATTTCCGTAAAGCAGTTGTAACATAATATTTATCAAAAGTAAATGTTTATATTTGATGCTATATTTCTTTCCGCCTACAAAAATTATTTTACTATACGTAGGACACAGGAACTAGGAGAATTGTGGATGCATATCAACGATATTTTCTTAAACTTTTAACAATAAGTATTATATTTATTGTACTCCGATAAATAAGATTTTCGGAATTTGTTTCTCTGGTTTAATGCATTTTTCGAGTTTAGTAAACAATAAACATAGATAATACTATACATACGAAAATTACCACAGGTTAATATGAGACTACAGAACATACTGATACTAGTCTATACTCGGCGTACTGTCCAGGCTGCACGTTTAGCTGTTCTGTTCATTTAAAAGATTACTAAAATTTAACATTTTGAATGGATTAAGTATTAGCAGACCAACTCGATTTTAACGTTGTTAATTTATAAGTTTTGGGACAGTTTAATATAATATGTGTAATATGCAATTGACTGTAACGCCATTGCTGCGAAATATATATTTGACATGCGTTACAATGAGATACAGGCAGAGGAATTTTCTATTGATTTATTATAAATAAAAATGTATATGAAAAATCGTCGATAATGTTTTAAACGTGCGGTTACGTGATGCCTATATTAGTTTTTTTTAATAATCAGATTAGGCGACTTCCTCCAGATAATCATCCGATTATGAGGCATCACGTCTAGGATAAAAATGAACCATAATATATATCTTAATCTGACCCGCTTGAGTATTTCAAAATGGCGATTTTTTTGCACTTTCTATTAATGACCACGAGTTTAGGTCACATCCAAATCGTCAGATTATTAGATGAGTCTTTTTATATAATAGGTCTCTATGACGCTCGAGTAACAACCCATTTAGCATCGTGGGCTCCCCTATACTTTTATTTATATCTATAAATTCTTGTCGAAAACCTACAACTGAATAAGCTTAGATCTGTTGTCAGTCATAGACACATATAGGTCACACTCATTATGTTTAAAGGTTTTAGATCAGATTCTGATGCGTCTTGTTGAGAACTTTTGTCTTAACGAAATAACGTTTGATCTGAAATCTACGCTGACATCGTGTGTTTTGCACTGGGCGATGTAAGCTACCTCAATAATACACGTGTAAGAAAAGTGCCCAAATTATCGATAATAATCTGTACATATAATCTGGAATCAATCCCTGGTATAAATATTTTGAGTGATGTGAAATTTAACAAGTAATGAAGGCATGATATTAACTACAAAAAAATTGTATCGTATATCATAAGGTCTGTATTGTACTAAGATTAAATAGTAAGAAAGAGAAAGAGATTTTGTTATTTATTAGGTCAATAATAATAGATTATCACAGTCCCTGAAAAACAAAAGTAGTCAACAGAGAAATAATCAATAATAATATAACAAAGGTGAAAAAACCCTTCAAATATAATTAGTTAAGATAATTGCAATACATTTATCACACAATGTAGAAATAAACATGCAATAATAACCATAATATAATTTAATAAAAATAAATTGCACACAATATGACAATCAAAAGAATTTTGATCCAGTCAAAACACTCTTATTGCAAGCCACAAACAACAATAGTAATAAAAAATTCGCGGTTTTATAAATCATCCACTCGGTCAACGAATTAACGTTAACAATGTGTTAACTGGTCTTTCAAAAAATAACAATTAAATAATATTCTCGAACCCACAAAGGCCACTTAAATATTTTAGCTAATAAAGGAGAGAGACCGGCTGCTGTATGTTTCAGCAGCAATCTCAGTTGTTTGCATTCGCTTGAAGTTTTTACAGAACAAAGAACAGATTGCTCAGTTCATTCTCTACGTCCATAATATATCCGTGTAAAATGGCCGCGTGACTCTTTTAGTAGACCCTTATGGTGAACTTGACTGCAGTTTTGGAGTGTGACCTCACTGAAGCAGAGTAGGGTGAAGGAAACCAGCAATTTTCAGAATTGCAGTACTAATGTTCTACGAACTAGTGTCCGGCTTGTCTGCTCCGGTGACGTCGCACGCTTACGTCATCGTGTCACAAATATATATACCCTGGTTAAATAGGAAATAATGATTCCAAATTTGGCGAAAATAATCGCAACGTCCGTCGTTGTCACGGGGTCAGAAACATTTGTGGAATATCAAAGTATATTTTATATAAATCTCGTCAAAACCACCACCATAGTGCTGAGAGCTTATTTGACCCAGTGTGTGTGTCCTATAAGCTGAGTAAAATATCACGCAGATGAAAAATAACGACATCACAGGCACAACACGTTAAAAATTACAGTGTGCCCCCACCCTTACTTCGTTATCGTTCCCGAGGAGAGTGAAGATGGTGAAATTGAGATCGAAAGAAGCAATCTACAGAAGTGGAGTAGTTTCTGAAATGAAGACAGCTGCGTAAAGGATCTCAAACGGATATTGTCGCAAGAGTGGCAAAAGCAGAGTTAAAACTGAAAGGGCCCAACCGAATGCACTTTTCGGTACCAGCTTTGCGGAGTAAATCTCACAAACCCATCTAACCCAGAGACAAAAAGCAGAGTGGGGGCCGCGTTAGGCCGAATCTAAGTCTACCGATCTAGCTATTCTATACTGACAAACCCAAAATCAATGCAAATTAGCACCAAACAAACTCAGGACAGCCCTTACCATATACTTACTGCGACATCTTTACATTTTATTTACAAATACAGTTCTTCGGATGCGAAGAACCACCCTACGACCGTCCCGTACAACATCTCACCATAATAATATATTACATCTATTTCGATATACGTAGTGCCAAAAACCCATCGGGTCCGAGGCACCGTCGCTCTGTTCCGAGAGGCGAAGGCGGAGTGTCGATGTATTCGGTGTACACATAAAAAAGTAAAAATGGCCGATTCGCTCCTTAACTAGGAATAAATAAAACTTGAGGTGCAAAAATATTAAACAAATATTGTCATATCCTTATCGACTAATTCGTTACAAATATATTACGACGCTCTTTCAATTGATTTTTAAAGCTATCCGTGACTATGTTACTCCGGGCAGGACGATCGCCGAAACGGGATGGATTTTACATGAGTCTATTTTCATTTTACGTGTCGTTCGGTCGTAAGAACACGATCTTTAGGTCAATTTCCCAAAACGTTCCAGTATTTGAATACCTTCCGCGCGTCGAAACGTGTAAACGGCACATATAGTCAAAAATCGACTATAAATAAGCGGAAAACGTTCGAGTTAAGTTATTAAGCTATTATATTCTGAAATATAGTATTGAATAATTTCCTCATTAAATATTTCACGTCTTTCGAAAAATATGTATGAATATATGTAATATTAATTTCTCGCCGCTCGTCGAATAAGAGAATATTCGAAGCGACGCGATCGATTGCAACGGTGCAACGGTGAGTCTGTCGAAGAAATTCCTTCTCGAAGCCTTCGCCGAACGCTCGTCCCGCTCTCGCCCGGAACGCGTCTCTCAGTCGATGGCCTGCTCCGTCATCTGCAGGCAGAGGGCGTCGAGGCTGGAGTAGTCTTCGTGCTGAGGGAGGGCGGCGGGAGGCAGGGCGTGCGGGGGGAAGGGCGGGTACGAGTGGGACTTGCCGCGGGGGGTGGGGGGCGTCCAGCGGCGTCCTCGGGGGGCCGGCCCCGCGCGCCATCTGGGACAGACGATCACGAATCAGTACGGAGGAACACGTCGCCGCCTAAGACGGAAGAGAGTCGGGCCTACCTGGGCTTGTGCCTTCGATGCGCCGGCATGTCGCTGACGTGCTGGAAGAACTGCCTCGGGGGCAGGCGGTGGCGAAGGCGTCGGAGGGCCTCTCGCAGACTCCCGCCGACGAAGGACTCGTGGTGCAGGGCCTGCGACATTCGTATTACGTCATATTTTGCGACGCTCGCGAGTGTCGTTCGGGACGAACCGAGTACCTTCTCGACCAGCCAGCAGTGCAGGGACATGGGGTCCGCGAAGTCCTCGCCCTCGGCCCCTCCGCCCCCGGTCAGACACTCGGACGCCAGGTCCAGCGCGGCCACCAAGGCCGCGGGCAGATCGGACGTCGGCGGCATGGGCGACAGCATCACCCCTCGAAGTTTGTCCAGGGCCCGCAGCAGAGGCCCCGGCCCGGCCCCCGACTTCAGTTCGCTCTGCACGCTCTCCAGGATGGCCGACCGCTCGCTCAGCTTCTTTATGGACAGCAGGATCTTGTGCCGAGCGCCTTTCGTCACGCCTGCGAGGTTTCGATCAGAATGTTTTACGAGTCCTAGAGGCCTACTCCTACTTTCTCTGAATCTGTGACTCACCCAATTTCTCTAAATGCTTCTCGTCCATGGCCATCATCTGCTCGTACGTGATGTTGGTGAAGAGCCACACGTACTTGTGCAAGCGCAGGCTCTTCAACCACTGAGCCACCGTGGACATCCCGGGGTGCTCGGTGTAATTGTTCGACCTCAGATCGTCCAGCCTCGTCTCGCTGCCCGTGGTCCCGTACATGACGCCGATCGGCCTCAAATGGCCTAAACTGTGTTCGCTGGATAACGAAAAACTTCGAGGTTTCTGAAACGGTTCGTCGCTCAGATTCTCGGCCGAGGACGACATATGTAAGAAGTTGGTCGACGGTGGGGTTAAGCTGTTGGACCTCTGCGACTTGGCCTGAACGATCACCGGATCGAAGATGTCTCCCTCTATGCTTATGTCTACGTCTCTGCCGTTCTTTGAGAAGGATTCCTGCAACAAATCTGTATAGGACGGGGGATCTACCGTGTCTAGTATTCCCCTAAATTCTACATTCTTCCCGATGGTGCGTCTAAAGGTGCTATTGGTATTCCAAATGTTAGTCTCCGGGAGGAGACAATGATCTGTGCGTTGTTGCCAAACAGACTCTGAGTTTCTGTTGCCTGAGATGTGGTTTTCTAGATAGCGTAGCCATTGTGTCAAGGTCCTGAAAAATTTAACCATTACTTATATTCTAAAGGCAAAAAGAATATCTTGCAGTAGCATATTTAGTCATTCATTATTTTCACTTATTTGCACTTAAAAGCATAGTAATGGAGCTAAAACAGCAGACACATAAATGGTTGGCAAAAGGCCACTTTATTATTTTAGGAACAACTTTACTTCAGACTTCATTCAACTTCGTTACATGTCGGTATTATTGTGGAGTATAAAGAATAAAATGAAAACTTAATAAAAATTTTGACTAATCAAATGAGATGCTAATTATTCTTCATGCATGTGAATGGCAATACTTTCTTATTAAATATTCATGAGCAAATGGTAAGAGCTACTAATTACAAGACAACCTGGCCATTCTCAGATTTCTGGTTAAGATATGAAAAAGAGGTAAAGATACTCTTACCTCTGATCGTGAAGAGACAATGCAGGATGTACAAGAAGATATGACAAAAGTTGTCGACATAAATCTGGAGCTATAGTGCGCCTTGGTGCATCCACACATCTCTGCACTAGAGCTGGAGCAGCACCCACATAGATATTCTTAGCTCGCTCGTTGTCTGTCCTTAGCAGAGGCAGCAGGGCCAGAAGTTTAAGCAGTCTTTCACCATCTAAAATTATACATAACAATAATTTCATTGATTTATTACACATATGATTGTTAGTTATCTCTTAAGCTAGATAACATTGTCTACTTTACTACTAATAAATATAAAACATAGGTGTTTGATGTTAATTTTTCATCCTAACACTTTAACCCCTTGATTAATTCTGACTTGAATAGAATTATAAATGTATAATTAGAACAAGTGTTCAAGTTCAAAGCTTTCCAAATATATCCAGTACAGACCAAATAAGGTGATGATGTTGGAACCTAAATACTTCGCCAAGTTATTCAATTTATTTTATACAATAGAAAACATGTTAAAACATCACATCTAATAAGCATGCAGTCTGCCTTTGGGAAGCAGTTGTGACATAAATTAATAATAAGTCTGTGATTCCAGTTATCTCAATTAGACCTAAATAATTATTCATTTTTCAAATAAAAATTACTGTTTTAATATAAATTAGTTATTTTTCAGGCATCCAGATGATATTATTGGTAGTAAGAAATTGAATGTGCTTTCAAGAAAAAGTTAAAAATACCCTCGAAATTAAAAATAATTAAAAAATTTCATAATCTTTTTAAAATTATAAGTTACCTTCTTCTTCATCATCACTGACTCTGGCCGCCAATAATGTGGCCAGGAGTGTCTCATCATTAGCATCTCGTTCGAGACGCTCGTCTTCCACGTGATTCTGCAAAGCTGCTTCCACCGTCCTCTGCACAAGCCGCAGCCCAGGCCAGGGTACCCGGCGAGCAAGAGCGCAGGCCACCACGGTCCGCTCACATGTGCCCCACTGTTCGAACACCCCAGCCACACTCCCCAGCTGCTCGTAAAACGTTCCGTTCATCTTCCCATCAGCATATCAGCCCTAAAAACAGTCTTGTTTGTGTCCTATACACGTCAAATGTATGACAGCTGATCCCGGAACAACGATGGCCCAAATAGAATCCAAGTAGTAACGGCGCCCCCAGTGCAAGTACCACAAGTGTGACGTGGTGAAATGAAAAAAATTATATCTTTTTGTTGCAGGTAGTATGAAAACAACATTTACCTACTCTGATTCGACGATCAGTCAATTTATTAACTTACTCAAGATGGCCGAGCACAGATGACAGATTCTAAAGTATCACTACAGTTATATAAATATATTCTTTTTTAATTATTTAATTGTGAATTAATCTTTGATAATAAACAATAACAAGGTTTAATTCAAATAAGTAATAATATAAATGTTTTTTTTAATTTAATATTTTATTTTATATGGCAATTTATTGGATATCTTCCACTCAGCACTAGATGGCGCTGTAATTGGATTATTTAAGGAACCTAATAAATAACAATTATTATTATGATTAATCAATGGAAACTAAGAAATACTCTGAAAGGGTATTTATTTATTAACAACCTCCAAAAATCATTTCATAAAATAATATATTTCATTTAATTAAATTAAGGATGGAAAATGTTTTTTACTCACGTTCTACGTAAGTCTACTTGATTGAGAATTTCATTTACCTATAAATTGACTTATCTATTACTAGGTACTATAAAAGTATATTATAAATTTTATAAAGATTTTTCATGTCGGGTTAGTTTTTAGTTTTAGGGTAGGCCTAACTATGAAGTAGTTTATTTTCCTTAATTTTTTTTATAAAACTCGAAGAAATGAACTTATGGATAACTCTTTAATGAAACTGTGATTCGCATAATAGCTTTATTGCATGTAATTTCTAGATTAAAATTCTAAATTGTTAATTTTTTTGTATTAGGGAATTTCTTAAAACCAATGTAATGTACTAAAATTATTAAACAATTTGTGGTTACCTGCTTACGACCATTTAAGTAGATATTTCCAAATACAGTTTATGAATTTAACTAGAAAGCTTTATACAAAAGAAAATATCATTATAGAGAAAGTTGCAACGACTTAGTGTAGAGGTACAATTTGTCAAGCTAAGCTTATGGAGAAATTTGTGTAAATTGCCCCAATTGTTGGTGCAACGGACCAACCCTTTGTTATGTACTATTGCGAAAATAGTAAACAATGAAAATTATACAATTTGCATGCAACAACGTCGCAATGTTATTTGTTTTGAGGTGTCTGTCGACTTGTTATTAATGATTGTCAAAACAATAGGGGAACACTGAACACTGACTTGGGTAGGTACCTACGCGGTTGCTATATTATAGACACTAGATAACAATATCTAATATTATAATTAAAATGTATCGAATTATTAAGTATAATATATCATATTAGGTATAAACGTGTGGTATGACTGGAAATACAGTTGCTTTGAACTATTATCCGTTTATGGCAAGCAAATGAAACTACATAAACTTGAACAGCCAACTAGCAGCTATGCCTTATAAATTCGCAAAATGATATCTACATTCTAATTAAACAATAACCCTTTCCGTGCAGCGAACACCCGACCATTTTGTTTTGTTGACATGTTTCAAGATGGATGATGTGAACATTTAATACTAGTTTGATACAAATTTTATATTCCCGTTCGTTCATTATGTTCAGGAGAAAAAAAATCGGACTGTTGAGGCACAATAAATCATGTTGTGTTCGGGATGTCTCAATGTGGTTAAGATTAACGGTTCTATTTATTTTCAAAATTCGAATGAATGTTAAAGAAAGTTCAAGTTATTATATATTATAACTTTACCTATTTGTAAAATACTGTAATGGATATGTCATATAAAAAACTAATTTCTTAAAACGGATAAACGACTGATAAGGTGTGACTTATGAGTGGCTCAAACTCGACTCTACTCAACTCAAGTATAATTTTGATTTTTGAGGGAATCTGGAACCTAAGACCCGAGAGCTGAATAATAAAGTAATAACATATCGGTTACGGATATGGTACATCTTCACTTGTATAGGGTTTTCAAAACATAGATCCTTTAGATATCATCTACTGCATCTGCCATTAAGGTATCATAGTCTAGGAAGTAGGTACAATATAGTCCATTAAAGTAACCATTTAGACCCGATACAAGTGATGACGTTGTCAAAATTATACAATGTCATTTGTAATATCTATTCATACACATGTCATACAAAAGCACGAAAAAATGCTTCCCAAAGATAATTGCATGTCCAGCGTAATTTAAAATGCCCATCGAAGCGTCATCGAGGAAGCAACTGTCTCCATTTGCGCTTATTGTGCGAAACGCGTTTCCGCCCGCCATTTTGGGACATAATGTCCAGCGGTGGTCCCACGTATTGTTAATGTGACAGCAAAGGGTTAATACTGAAAATCATTTCAAGTGAGACCGATTTCTTTTATTAAAAGGCAATCTTCGAAACGTTTCAATAAATAATATGAATTATCTCTGGTTGATTTTCTGTATACCATTAGTATACTGTTACAAACTTAGTGTTGTTACTACAGATGTTTTATTTAGTGAATTGAAACCTAAATTTTTAACAATAAAATATGTTAAAAAGTAAATAAGTACTTTATAATTCTTAAAACATTAGTAACATATCATATAAGTAGGAACAATATAAAATTAGTCTCGTCTTTTTACTTAGTAGTCGGTTAATTAGACTAAAAGTATATTGAACCCCATTTATCGGATATTAAGTGACAGTTAATCCATATTTATTGCACAGATAATGAAATATGGGAACATTGTTTTCAGGACCCGGATTATGTAGAGGCTACGACGGACTAGCGCATTCGCATTCTTCGTTTTATTACAGACTACTTATTTAATAAAGGCTTAGTTTTAATCTCCTGTATATAACATCGCGTACTAAATGAAGTTAATTAAGTTTGTATGTTTATTGGTGTCTTTCCTGTGTGTACGTGTAAAGCTGTTAATAATTCAGTTACCTACATCTCTAGGATATGTTGTATACTTACGTAACCCTTTTTAGGGCAGATATACTTTCATGTTTCGTTCATTAGGAGTTTTTTATATATTATTCATATTTAGTTTCTAAGGGATTCAAGATCAGAACTCCAAAAGCAATGTTTTTAGAAAACTTACTAGACTGTTTGCGTTTACTATTGCTTTCATTGAAGTTAATTGGATTATTAACAACGAGTTGAATGTTTAAAGCTGGATGAAAAGAGGGACTGCAATCAAAATTTTGCAACCAGAGCGGTTTTAAACATTCGAACCTTTGTCTAGGATTATTCTGACCTAAGTAGATCTATTGAAGATGAAAGCTGTATATTCAATTCATATAGTTTTATTGATGACGTTTTTCACAGTTAGAAAAAATTGTCCCTTCGACGAGGAAGGGTTTCCCAAATGACAGGCGCGTGGCGAACCGCTACATTACAACATATGCCAAATTATCTCTTTGGCTCCTTGTAAATACGTTTGATTTTTGGATAAATGTTATGCACAGCTGCTGGTAACCCTATACTGAATACACATGATACGAAGGTTTTAAATAAATATCCGTGTTTGGATTTAGTATTACTTAAGTAGGTGATGAGAACAGTTTTATCTGAAAATGACCACCTTTTGAGGACACGGACCGTTATACCTTTATACTGCCTAATTGGTCATTTATATATTATATAATCTATCACTTATATAATAGCATAAATAAAATTATAATGTTAAGCTGTACTTGTTTTAATTATTTAGTCAAATACTAGTTAAATAAGAGACTCATACTCTACTTTTACAATAACATACCGAACATTTAAGTTGGGCTAACCCTGTTGTAAACTATTTACCTAAAGGTATTTAATATTAGTAGCGATAAGTAAAGGTAAAAGTCACAGCCACGACAATTCATTATTTATTTAAATTATAGTGCCATAAAATTTAACAAAAGCAATTAAGATTGGTTAAAACTGGGCATACGTGGGATTAAAGAGGATTATCCGACATATACCGAGGTGTTCTGGAAAAGATGTAATAAGTAGCTAAATCATGTGGGTATAAAAACAAATACCATAATTAACTTGTTTACAGGGCCCAAGGTAATTTTTACGTAAACAACTTACTTAATTTTAAATCTTATTCAACCCTTAATCACCGAATATAAAACGTAAACAAACTTAGATTGGTAATTATACTTAAATCACAAAACAATAGCATGAATCGTAGCTAAGAAATGAGTGTCGCAAGTGGTCCCGTTAGGCCCACCCTACCGCTTTTGCGCTCCGCCCCTACTTTGCCCGCCATTCATCGATTTAAAGAGCTAGGGGAAGCACACGATATGGCTCTCTGGACACCTTACACGGAAGAAGCCCTCGACTTGACCAAACAGAACATAGAAAAATCTCCAGATTACCCTCACTTGGATCATTACTACTACGAGTCGTACGGTTCACCACAAACTGTACCTACCTCACAGATATCTCCAGACTCGATCAAAAGTTGGAATCAGGAAGATGAAACTCTCTCTGACGACATGGAATATCAAGCCTTCGAACGTGACGCGCTGCAAGCTATGGCAGAGAGGAATGGTGGAAGTCTCCTGGGAAATAATCCAAGAATGAAGAGAGTCGTACAAAGCACCCAAGCATCTGATGACATGTACAGAAAGCAAAGACAACGAAACAACTATGCGGCGAAACAAAGCAGAGACAGACGGAAGCTAAGGGAGGTTCGGTTGGCGTTTCAAGTGACGTTTTTGAAAAAGAAATTGGCTGAAATGAGATCGCAACTCGACAGTAGAGTATGTGCCAGCTGTCTTCAGAGGCGTTAAATAAGATGTCTTAGTGGGTACTAATGGTGCTATTGTAATTTGTAGATTGTGCTTAAAAATTACAAAAGTGAACAGAACAGTGACAAAAACGAAAAAGGCGTGTAAATCTAAGAGAGTTAGAATGTGTTATGTTAAATGTAGCTGCTTAAGTAAACAATACCAAAAATGTAAATCAAAAGTATACAATAAAGATTATTAGATATGCATAGATTACCCTTTTATTATAAAACCCTCAATTAAATATCAGTTAGCCAAGCCAAGCATATCCAATATATAAGCTCATGTACTATGTGAACTCTACGAAATTCTGCGCGGGGCGGGGCCTGCGTTTGCGCAATATACCTACCACCGAGTCAGCCAATAGAGATTTAGAACATTTAGTAAAGGTCACTTTTAACAATTAAAAAATGTTTCCTATCTTTTTAATACGAGCATATACATTTTTTATTAGTAATCATAACAATCAAATAAACAGTATTTACAATTTTCTTAACCTACAAAGTAATAATAAAAATAATTAAAAATTAATAAAAAGAAAATTAAAACTAATTTAAAAAGTTTGGTCCCTGTGGATGTGTACCTTTACACCTGGCAGCATTACCTCGCTGTATTGCGATATTTATTCGTTGAGCCAGGAAAGCACCAGCTCTGGGGTCACCGGTAGGTACTATCTACCAGATGCCAACTTAAATCTTTAATTAGCGCCTGTGCACTTGAAACCCACGGCCCAAGAGTTTCTACTCCAAAGGGAACAAAATCGAAGTCGGAGGCAAGACTCTTATGTTTGAGCCGTTTATTATTTTCAGCCTGCACCGCGGCCGCCCAGCTATTTTGCTTGTCCGAGGTAGGAGAGACGGGGCAAAAATGTCCACACAAGTAGCATCCCATCTTCAACGACATCCCATCCGACCATAAATTAATATTAGATAATTATTATTTATCATTGTTTCTCATAATTAAATAATATAAACCCATATTGGTACTTGCTGGCAGTTTAGAACTATTATGAAGACATTTGTTTTGTAATGCATAAACTCTAAAATTACTGAACGTATTTATATTACCAATACAAAACTTCACTATCGGCAAGTAGCAAAGGCTTCGATCAATAGAAGCGGAGAATCAATGGAAAATGTTGTAAAAACGGAAAATAACGCAATATCGATCTCGTAATATGGAACTAAGAGAGAGAAAACCTAAAAGCTGAAATCGCTGGTCTAGGCTCAGTCTAGCCTAGTCAGGCTAGTCAGTCTATACCTACCTAATTTTTATTTCAAGGGTTTAATTTCTAGTTCTTTTACTAAATTTATATTCACTGCGGCATATCGACGCATCTCTGTGCCCAATGTATAATATTTTCATCTACACAAAGTAATAACATGAAATATATAAAATATATTGGTTAACAAAAATGTCGCATGTTTTTGGTCTTTGGGTAACCCCAATATTTGGGAATATGTTGAGGGGAATGTGAGATCTTATCTAATAATATGGTCGCGTGTCTCTAGACCTTCGTTTGTTATTAAAGGATTGTTGTTACATGTGTGATGTTACCACCTTTCGTTGAAGTTATTCAGATGATAATGATCGTTAGAGATAGACAACTACAAAGAGATTGAGGTTTACTCAATGTGTGCCAGCGGCAATCAGGATTACAATAACCTGCCGTTATGTGTTTTCATGTCTATTGTGCCATCATTGCCTAAAAGAATATTAAGCTCTATAATAGGCGATTAAAAATAATTATTTGCTATATTTTACACCTGCATCGATCTCGGAATTGCTGAAGAATCACCGCACGAAGTACCTTCGAGCGTACAGTAAACTTATACATTCAATTGGCCTTCTCTTCGACTTTTCATGTATTTCTTTTATAAATATAAGATCGATAGTACATAGCGCAAACGCAGGGGTTGTGTAATAGGGGTGCGACCCTCGGTGATGCCCTTGTCAACAATTAAGTTAACGCCCTGCAACCCCACTATTATCATTTTTTCCAATATAGATCTGTTCGAGAAAGATTTTTAATTTGACGATACGCTTTAACTGACGATCAAAAACAATATCTTCGAATTATTTGATTAATTACAAACATGAAACGTAGTACTAGTCAATATATTAAGGACAAGTTTGTTGTAACACGCTGAAAAATTATTTAGCAACGAATGCATCAATATTAATTGATAAAGTCATTTAAAGAATAATCCTTCTATGATTTTTATCAATTTATATAAAGAAAAAATATCACGAGTTTTTAAGTTAATAGATACCTAAGTGTATCTACTTAGTTACTAGTAGGTATATAATCAATATTTTTTAAGCTGGTTGGCGTCACAAATACCGCTAGCTGTTACCAAATCCCTTAGGATTTAATTTTAAGAATGTAAATAGGCCCGTTAGAGTTTGCCAAACTTCTCAGAATATTTGCGAAGTGCACAAACGGACACCCTTTTATCTTACATCTAATAATCCTCACGGAACAAAACAACTTGCATATTGTACAGTTACCTACTGTGACTAAATTGAAAATATTAACTTAAGTTATAATTGTTGGGCTTCAGTTCTGTTTCTGTAAAAACAGGATACCAAAAATAATTAAGTAAAAATTTGTTAGTAGATATCGCACGTAAAACAGATTTATTCTCGAAACGTCGGTTAAATTTAAAATTATGAAAAATTATTGTAAATACATAACTTCAATCCGGTAAAAAAATTGTCTTATTATCAGATTTATTCTCATTATGAATTTATTCAAATGAATAATTGTATCTTATAATACGGTTAAACAAAAATTACCTGCTTAGTATATTGCCTCCCGTTACACTAATTTTAATCCTTAATTTCGTGCTTACAGAGAAACAATAAAAAGATTAATTTTAATATTTCGTTACCGACGTAATCTGATGTCTAATCTGTGGACGCATGCCGCCGTTATTGCTGTCATAAAATTTGCGCCAACACTGCTCCCGCATTTGGCCCATTGTTTTTTTTTATAAGAAGAGTGATTTTATTCTTTGGAAACTACAATTAAATTAAATAAAACAGGCTATCATACCTTTATATAGGTTCACTTGCGAAAAAATATAAACGCAATGCAACACTGTTACGTTTGGTGAATTGTTGATTGAAATGAAGAATTGATTTTCTATTTGACAGTTAAATTTTTACTGTTCAGGTTACCTACAGTTGATAAAAGTTCAATTGAGAATATTATCCATAGTACCTAGTATCTCTTGGGAGCGATGGCTATATTTTTAATAATTTATTTATTATTTAATAATTAATTATATCCGGAAGTTCATTTGTAAACGTACAGATGGCGATTTTGCCGCTTCAGAGAATTTCAATACCTCATTATTTGACCACATGGCACTGAATAAACTAAAAAGTATTCGAAATTTACTAACCTATGTTCAAGATAGGGTTTGTAATATTATGATTTAATATCAGACGATTCATATAGGTACTAATGATAACAAATACGAAGGTACCGAGACCATTAACAATTGAAAAATCTTTAAAGACTTTCACAACATCTTTTAAGAAACCACATTAACCATTTAATAATGAATTATTTATATTTAACTTCTTCTGTTATCGTAAGATTAAACTTAAACTCGGCACGATTTTTTACAGTTAGATACGGAGAGGAGGTCGGAGGCACATTTTGGCAAAACTTTAATCGAAAACACATTACTTAATTGCTATTTGTTATTTGTTACGCGAGAAATGCAAAACATATTTACATTGGTGCTAAGGGAATTAACGATAGCTTAATAACAAATAGGCAAAGTAAAAAAAAAATATTTTCATTTTTCATCACACATCAGCAAAATATATATTTATTTTTATATAGGTATGAAAGTAAGTTTAAAATGTTATAGTTAAGAATTTCTCTATTCGTTCGAGCTATGGTGAAGAACCGCGAAACCACATTCAGAGGTTTCGCGGTTCTTCGCCATAGCTAATAATTCAATTAATATTTTCCTTAACCTTCTTTGTTTTACTTCGCAAACGCTTTATCCATTCTGCCTTATTATATAGTTTCGGTATCATAGGTACAGAGGAATTCCAGAATTAAATATTCTGATTGAATGTAAAATATAAATCTTAATTTTTATTAATTAAGCAATAAACGCAAAGATAAATCATAATAAACATTGTCACGCGCCGATGCCGTTATCCGCAGGTAGCCAACCCTTTTGAAGGGGCTCATCTTACCCTTAAGCCCCGCCCACTGGCATACAAAAAGCACTCGAGCATCGCCCAACACATTAGTCGATCATCAATACGCCACCATGGCTCTCTGGACGCCTTACGCTGAGGAAAGCGCTCTCGACCTCTCCACGAAATACAGAAGTGATTTAGCGTATTATAGTGTACCCTACACGTGCCAACATCTATATGTGCCGCTGCCTGAAAGTTCCCCGGTGTCTAGTTGCTCCAGTATGGTCACGAGCCCGCCGCTACGAACCGGGATGATTTCACCGCCAGATTCGCCCGTCTCCGCCGATAGAAAACGACCAAGTTACATGATGGACGTGGATTCCCTGTCTGATGACCCAGACTTTCAGGCCTTTGAGAAGGATGCTTTGAGAGCTATGGCCGAGAAGAACGGCGGCACCTTACTAGGAAACAATCCGAGAATGCGTCGCGCGGTCCAAACCTCTCAAACCGCTGACGATTCATACAGAAAGCAACGAGAAAGAAACAATTTCGCAGCCAAACAGAGCAGAGACAGACGGAAGCTGAGGGAAATCCACCTTGCTCTCAAAGTGACTTATCTCAAGAACGAAGTCGCGAAGTTGAAAAGGCAACTCGCATCACAAGCTTGCAGCCGATGCCAGCAGCCCTGCACCTGCTAGAGTAGTTCAATTAGATGTAAATTGTGTGCAATTTTGTTAATATGACTTATTTATTGAGAATTTAGTTTTAAGGATTACTGTAAATTAGTTTATAAGTAAATTATATAAATATTCTTTTAACTCTATCTTTTAACATTCATCCCTTTCATACCACTGTTTTTTTTATCAATAAGGTAACTCCCTTCTACTTAAGACAAAATTATTTAAGTATCTTGATCACTTCATACTTAAAAAGTATTAAATATAGTTTAATTTATAACTCAATATCTGTAAGCCACCCTAATAAATTTAACAATTTTGAGAAATAATTAGTCGACAAATATTTTATAATTATAGAAACTTTGTTCAAAAAAGCCAATAAATTATATATATTTTTTTGACCATAAAGTACCTATTTAAGAAATCGAACAATACGTTGTCCTAAGCTGTCATAAAAAGACTCATTATAGCGACAATAATCCCTCGGGATGACGCAACAAAGAATGACCATCGCGGTGGTCCGAGATACCATTCGAGTTCAGTTTGGCTGAAAACTAAACCGATTACCTTAACAACTTCAAGCTTCCTGAGTTAAACTTCTCGAATAAAAACCTAAAAACATCTTTTCTCTGCGTCCGATTTGAAGTGAACCAGAAACTTAACTCCGATGAAAATTTGTAATATTGTTGTTGGAAAGCTATTTTCCTTATTGCATTTTGATAAAGTGTGATATTATCCACATCATAAATGTCTCTACACATAAGAAAGAAAGGCCTAAAACAAAACCATATTCCGTCAATATGACTTAAGGTTATATACCTACCTACACATGTAAAATCATAAAAGGACCCTAAATGTTGCGCTATTGGTGGAGCTTGCGCAAGCGATCTCACGCGGTAACCAATCAGTCACAAGGTCAATTCAGCTCGCTTCGCCGATAATAATAGATCATTTATAAGGCATATAAACGTGCTTTGACGTGAAAAGAACAAGGAATTATTCTCGAGGCGCTTCATTTTAGAAAGAAAATTCCGATATACTTAAACTAATGTTTATTAATAACAATATCTACACAATTTTATAAACTAATCTAGACTTTTTGTTTGACTACGTGTGGCAGGTCATACTTTCCTCTCACGCACTTCAGCTTCACTCCGGGGCAGTCTTGAACACTGAAAGTGACAGTTTTCTTAGCTTTATTAAAAATAAAAAAATCTTAAAACCATAATAGCATAATTCAATTTTTATTTATCGTTCTACATTTTACACAAATATAATTTCTAAAATCCATCAAATAAAAATACAGTTGTATTGTTATCACCACTTTGCGTTGCAACACACTTCAGCGTTTAAATTTTTTATTGGTTTTTGTTGGTATGTTTCATAGCAAACGCAACGTAATTTGATTAAAACTTGAATTGGGTGTCATACTCGCGTAAAAATAAAACACTCAACGATTTATAATCAGATAGATAAATCTAAAATTGAGAGAACTCAATACACAAAACCTACCTCCATAAATATGTTTATTGCTGACAAAAAACGGTAAACTAATTGACTCACCGTCCCACGCGAACCAGCACAATATTGTGTTCCTGGAGATTGTGTCCGATGCCCGGGATGTACGCTATCATCTCTTTGCCGTTGGAGAGACGAACCAACACACATTTTCGGTTGGCTGAGTTCGGTTTCTTCGGTTTCTTGATTAAAGTCTTCAATACTACGCCCTGAGGAATGCAAAACATTTGGTTGTCATCCAGTACTACAAACTACGAAGGATAAAACTATTATAAAAACGATAAGGAATAAATGGTAAGTTTGAATCAGACTATATGACTATTACTATAAAAACAAGATACACTTTGCAGTTTAGGGACAGTCTAAAATTCATCGCTAGGCCTTTTTAGAATTAATATTTTCTTGCATAGATTCGATATAATAACTAGAACAAAAGTATAGTTCACGTCACAAATTAAATTTTCTATACTCTCTCTTTATACTTTTATGTAGTACGACCGCACACATCATACCTTAGCGAACGGATTCCCTAAAAGTGGATTTCTGGATTTCCTGGTCTTCTTATGTGGACCGTTCTTATGCATCTGCATCAGCGAAGAAACGGCGCGTGAGATTAGGCCAACGGAAGCTGGTGGCTTCGCTTGTACAATTGCTGAAATTATTTTTACAGTGCTTTAATGGTTCAAATAATCATAAACTTTTACAATAAAGATTTCACGTACCTACCTATCTGAAGTATTTTTAATAAACAAACCAAGACTTTAATACAGTTTTGCCTACGCTGGTACAAAATATGAAAATAGAAATCGCTTAATCTATGATAATAAGCTTAATTTAAATAGTATTAGCAAGTAAGAAAGTAATACAGAACAATATCTCGTATGCGTATCACAATGCACTCTTCTGTAATTTATAATATATAAGTATTATGTAGAGCGTCTTCACTGATTAAGAACCGTTATAGTCGCACCAAGCAGGTGCTGGAATAAACGCCATTTCACGGATTATTCCTACATCGCATTCAAACAAATAAATGAACCTTTTTTCTAAGCCATAAAGCTGAAAATCGTTTGCTAAGTTCACCGACAGTACCGTATTGTTGCTTGTATCGGAGGCGTTCTTACAATTGTGTCAATTGTAGACGGATTAGTTTAAATGAAAGGGTTTATCCATACAAAAGTACAATTTTCAGGCTGCGAAATGTGTCGGCTATAATAGAGATAAAGGCTACGCAAATGGAATGAGGAAGAATAGTGCGAAATCAAAATAGGACAATGGACATACAATTGTATGTTAAGTGACATTTTCGTTAAGAATTCTATTGAGACTTCAGTTGGCTGAGTAGGCACTAGGCATTGATGATGTTCACGCAAAAATGACTATTCGATTTCTGTAGTCGTTAATTGATGAAACAATAATGTTATACATCTGATTAATATTATCTTAGTAGCCCAAAGGTAAGTCACAATATGTAACGTAACAAAAATGTTCCGGTTGAATCGCATTCCGTCGAAGTGCAATTATTTCGTTTACATCATTATTCGTATAAAGGGATGCGGAATATTTGAGATTCTATTATGAATCAATTTCATAGCGGCAGTTTGATTGACACCGTGTTGAATCGGTGCACCAAGTGTGCAGTGAAAGGTGCCATGACACCTTTTGCATGTCATATAACGCTATAAGTCATCCCTGTTGTACCGTTATCAAGGGCTGGATTTAAATGAAAGGGCACTTTACATAGGTATGAAAAGTGCCCGTTTATATTAAGTTTGGCATATATAAGTTTTGGCAGAGTTGGCAAACTGCAGACGGCTTTTAAGACCTAATATTCTAAATAATCAAGACTCGGAGACCCAAAAGAAAATTTATTCGTATTATTAATAATAATAATATTAATAATTCGTCTAATAGTACACATTTATGAAATTATGGTACCTACAGAAAGGATATACATATATATATGTGTGCTAAAATGACATGAGAGCTTAAAAAGGCGCAGACGAGCACAGTAGCTAAGCTTTTGATAATAACACAAATACGTAAGAGTACCGTTAATGCTACGCAAGGTGCGTAAAAAGCACAGATCTACGCCGTAGCTAATCGTAGCTTGACACATTGCGTTATTTTCCAATTTAAATGTATTTTACATTATATTTAATCGATCAATAAAAAGTAAGCTCTCAATTAGATCTTAATGTGAAGTAAATCATAAACGCGCCAATTGTGGTTCTAATCTGAGCCAAAATAAGGGTTCTAAGGGTCAAAATGCATATCCCTTCAGGTTGAAACGGTGAGCTACAGTTGCGGTAAAGAGCCACGTAATTTTTCAATAACAACATTATTAGGCTAAAAGAATGTCTTAGCTGAGAACTAGGCACGTTTCAGAAGCTATTTTTATTTGAGCAACAACTTAAATAACAAATGCATTTGTAGTCGCAGGACAGTGGAGCTGCCCGATGGTCACGTCATGTTATTGTTTGTGGTAATCTCCGCTCTTTGGGATTGACAACTTTGCATCTGCCTAGCGCAAGTATTATGATGGAACAAGTTATAAACTGCGAGCGGTTTAAGCAAACAGTTAAGAGTGGAACTGGTAATTGGTCAAGACGCAGTTTCATTTAATTTAACTATACTGGATGTATTTCACTTTTGCCTAAATAGCGTTTTTGCATATTTTATAAGTAAATACACGAAACCGTAAGCGGTTCACAGTATGATAAGGTCTTAAAAAAAAATTCACTAAACTATTGTTAATCTAGAGCAGTGTTGGCCTAGTGACTTCAGCGTGCGACTCTCATAGTTACCCGAGGTCGTAGGTTCGATCCCCGGCTGTGCACCGATGGACTTTCTTTCTATGTGCGCATTTAACATTTGCTCGAACGGTGAAAGAAACCATCGTGAGGAAACCGACATGTCTGTCAGACCCAAAAAGTCTACGGCGTGTGTCAGGCACTGGAGGCTGATCACCTACTTGCCTATTAGATTTTAAAATGATCATGAAACAGATTCAGAAATCTGAGGCCAAGACATAAAGAGGTTATAGCGCCACAGATTTTTGTTTATAGTGTAATCTAATAAATAAATTAGAAAAAACGCTTTCGCTTGCACGTGGTACCCTCCACCGCTGGTACCTGCTCTTTTTGCGGATTATAATCCGTTAATAGTGGGCATTGTCCACAGATGACGGATACAGTTTTGAAATTATCCACTGTCATATTCAGGGCTGTCACCAATGTCAAGACCACCACCAATTATAAATTAATGGAATATAATTTGTATGTCAAAAATTGTCAAGCATCAAGATCACAAAGTGAAGGATCAATTGAATTTTGCCATATCAATGAAATAGCATATAGGAAATGGAAAATATGGATAAATTATTTTCTGTAAGCTCTTTTAACTATAATAATAATAATATAATCTTTATTTATTTCTCACAAAAACTTAGGACATAAGCAAGTGACAGTTATATACTATTATAAATAAATAATTGTCTTACTTCTGTTTAGGGAAAAAGTTAACTATAAACGAAATGTATTGACTCCTCAGCTCTCAATTATTTTAATATAGGAGATAAATAAAAAGAGCAGCGATTTGAACATGTTATAAAATTACGATTTACGACAGCCGGTAAAATAAATTGTCTCCACATTTCCTCAACTAGAGACAGCCCTTATATTTCGCAAGCATGACTCTTATTTCACTTGCGTCCTCAAACGTATAAAAAATAATAGGCAAGAGTTGGCCACGGGAGCATTGTGTTTCGCAGAACGTTGTAAATCATATTTGTATAAGTAAATAGCACTACACTTTATCAGATAAAAGCAAATCTTTTTCGCAATTGTTCGGGAATAGCTCATTCATCGACAAAGCCAAACGGCACATATAATCCTCCATTTGTAATTTCTTTCTCAGAAGGTAGAATTAGAGCAAAGGATTGAAGTCATAAACGAGATGTTATTCGATATATTCAATTCTGTTTGCCAAGGTATTGCCAATTAACACGTCTATTCTTTCGATGCTGGAAATCATTTTAAAAATAAGCATCATCTTTAACATTGAGTGATTGATGCCTGTCAAAGTGTTATTTCTATTTGAGTGGAGCAAATCAAGGTTTCCTTCTTGTAAATGTATAAATTATGTATATGTCGCAGCCAAGTAGCTTAATAAGCCGTTCAATTAACAGCCTAGCCTTTGAACTAAACGGCGCCGTTTAACTAGCGGCCTAAAAGATGTTCAGCCAGATGATCAAACAGCTAAGCAAATGACTTGGATCGATGACGTTTCATTACTTGCCTAGCCTGTTGACTATTAATTTAAATTCAATTCCACTTTTTGCCACTCCAAACTCGAAATGAAACTCTTCAAACTGTCAATACGGCGTCGGCAAACCACAACTTTAATGGTGTTTTCCAGTTTCATGAAAAACAATAAGTACAATGGAAGAGTCTAGTGACAATTATAATGTAAATTTGACTCAAGCAATTTCATTTTAAAAGAAATATTTTTTATGTCATATGTTTCATCTTTTTTATTTCTGCCAAATAATGTCTGTATCGTACGAATGGCCTAAGCATTAGGCAGCCACTTTATTAAATGTTGTAACAAACGCTTTGGCTGAATATCTTTCAGGCCGTTGTTTAAACGGCGCCGTTTAGTTAAAAGGCTAGGCTGTTAATTGAACGGTTAATTAAGTTAGTTGGCTGCGACACATATAGCAAATGCGATGTTTGTAATTGTTTTCAATAGAACCGCAGTACACAAACAGTAAAGTAGCAACGCATAGAATTCCTAATAATAAGCTGGAAACAGCTTAATATAGAGCAGTAGGCGTGCTTCCTCAGAAAAACTGCCCAACAATGGGATATGTATGAGAAAGTTTGATGCGTGTTTGTCCCACGCATTCAATGTCCATACAGAATAACTCTTTCATTTTGTTCCGTTATTTTGATAGGGTACTCGTTTTCAGTTACAAACAGCGGCGTGCGCCTGTAAGTGTTTATAGTCGGGGAAATAACTACTTCATATATTATTAGGTGGTCCCTCAATAAATTCTAGATATCAGAAATTTCAATTCCTATACAAAAACTGTGAGAGTTTGTAATAAAGATTTACCGAGATTTATTTTGCCATTAAACAACGTTAAGATTATTGTTTACCGATGCAAACTATGAAATATGTATGCCTTCCTGGTGAATACTTAAAAAATCTTTTCGAGAGATTCTCAGTGTCTAAAGTACCATGTAAAGTTTAAACGAGTCGACAAAAGAGATAGATCAAGATACAAGGCTTTATTTATATATTAAAGAAATACAATACTTTTCTGTAAGACATTTTTAATTATCTTTATATTTTTCTTATAACAAGTCTGTTACCAAGGCAACTTCTTATATTATGCCAGTAGGTATATACATACTTCACATTTAGTGGTAAAGATACGATAAGTTGCTAGTTGTAAACAATTAACTTTTGTCCCCACAACGAAACTACACATTTAACACACGCAAAAGGCGCCAAAGTGGAACATTTAGGAATATAGTATCAATTTATGAAAGGGAATATTGTAGGCTTCAGAGGCATTCAGAGTAGGCAAGGTGTCAATTACTGTGAAGTCCGAGTCTAGGAAGAAATTGCTCTAGCGCTTTCAATGTAATCGAAGCTTGAAATCTGCCAATCACTCTTGGATGCAGGGTTCATGAAGCTATAGCTTTACATTCGTTTGATACACTGTACTCTTGTAAAGTGTAATAAAACGATTTATTAAGAAAAAAAGGTATAGGAATGTTATAAGACATAATTTTGATATTTCAACCTGTAAAATATCTATAATAACACAGGCAAAAGCCTGTTTGGAAATGACATAATGAACAAACTAAGAAAGCTTCAGTTGAACACCCCTGCGCAATAGGACAATATGCGTCTAGGTGTGAATGGCGAAGAGATTACGCTGGACGCAGCGGTCACTCGCTGACTCACCCTCGCCCGTCACATTCGCAACCCTTATTTATGTGTACCGTGGCCAGAACAATCAAATGCTGCATAGAAATCTATATTCATTAATGTGTATTAGCTTCTTTTTAAAAATCGGAAGGACCACGTTATCAAGTCGACGTGTATGTTTTTTTGAGTATGTTAACCATAACTGGTGGTGGACTGATATGGGTGATAGTGTAATACATTTAATTCTCTTAGAAATACAAGATAAACCAAAAGAAACAAGAAATATTGTTATTTAATACTTTTTGGAGTAGATTTTTTTACAGGAAATTACTAATTGAATCTTTAAAATATTTTTTAATGTTACTCATAATTTGCAATTTTTATATTTGAACAAATTAATGTTTAATTAATAATGAAATTACATAATTAAGCACATGCTTTAAAGAAGTTTTATTGAGATTATTAGTATAGTACAATTATACTGTTTCGTACAACTGTTATGGACAATATTTATTTTTAAATTACCAACTTGAGGTGTTTTGTTACAAAACAGTTATATTATATAAAAATTGTTTAATATTTTCTAAAAACCGTTTGATAATATATGATGGCGAATTTTGAATATGCTGACGGTATGCGGACAAAATCATGCCCATCGGACATAATCCGTGGTCTACGCGGAAGGGTTCTCTAAAGACGGGCGGAATCAGCCAAATTTTAAAACAGGGGAATATATATCTTATGTCATAGCAATAGCGACTAATGCAATTTTAATATGAACAAGCTGCATCTGACGCAGATGGCAATAACAGTTATATGTTAGGCTCCTCTTATTTACTTCCTTAATAAAATATTTATAAAATGCATGCTACTCTGTGTGTAGGGCCTTCAATAAAATCAAATTTAGTGATTAAAGCATAAAGTATAATATTAGATCCTTACATATGAAATTGGCGTTTTGTATGGGAGGAACAAAAAGTAGTTTTTTAAAGTAGAATATATTTATTTAATCAAAGTATGCACTTTTGCCATCTTATAGGTAGTGCATTGATCCCATTACTAAAAAACCAATCGAACGGGAACCTATAAAATCTTTGAAGGCGGTTTCGACTGCCCCATCAGAGTTGAATTATTAATTTGCTATATTTAAAAAAAACAAACACACCACTACACGCCATACTAGTCAAACGAGTTACGATGCTTAACTTGCCGAAGCCGCGTACAAATTATTTGAAGAAGTCTATTAAGTATGAGGGTGTGCAATTATTTAATCAATTACCAATTCAAAAGGGCATTAAAGATACATATCAGAATGAGCCTAGACTAAAATTGGGACAGCTGATGGCGACGTGTATCTCGTTTGTATTTTTTTTTTATAGAACAGGGGGCAAACGGGCAGGAGGCTCACCTGATGTTAAGTGATACCGCCGCCCATGGACACTCTCAATGCCAGAGGGCTCGCGAGTGCGTTGCCGGCCTTTCAAGAATTGGTACGCTCTTTTCTTGAAGGTTCCTAAGTTGAATTGGTTCGGAAATACTTCAGTGGGCAGCTGGTTCCACAAAGTGGTGGTGCGCGGCAAAAACTGCCTTGAAAAACGCTCAGTTGTGGAACGGCGGACGTCGAGGTGATACGGGTGGAATTTCGTATTCTGCCTCGACGTCCGATGATGAAACTCAGCTGCAGGTATTAGTCCGAACAACTGCTCTGAGCACTCTCCATGGTAAATGCGGTAGAAGATGCAGAGTACCCCACATCTCTACGCAACGAGAGATTGAGAGCATAAATTAAACATTTATTTACTTTAGAAATAAGGCGAAAACAAATGAAAAACATTGATCAGCAAATAGTAAAATACAAAGTGATATTTTAAATTTTTTATAATAACATATACTCTAATCTCTAAAAAAATCCAGTGTTACTAAAACCCTACATTAGTATTGGCCTCAGATGTCATTACTTTGATCATTTAAATTTTCAGAGCAAGTGTTAATAGCGCACATAAAATGAAAAATCCATTGGTGTTACATCAACAGACAACCAAGTCACTAGGCCAAGACCACTTCAATCTGAAACTACAAAACTGATTTTCACAGATAGATAAAACTTTACAACCAAGCAACACAATGTCAGGAATAGTTGTCAACATTACAAGATTCTCTTCACAAGTAAACTCACACTCAAATCTTTATTGCATTCCTTATGTACATTATTACTACAAGTTTTTTTATAGTAGATTGGTCTTAGTGGCTTGGGACAAGATTTAGTTTTTATTTTATTGAAATCAATTGTCAGACGTGAAATTGATCTGTATTAAAGACTTTTAAAAAGTGCATATTGTAAAAATTTTGCAAATGAGAAGTTTCACCCAAAAAAACATATATCTGTGGTTGGTGGTTATTTACATATTTAAATTAATGTTTATCTTGGTATTTATTGCTAGAACATGTGTTGTGTAATTCTCATGCCCTGTAACAGATATTTCTCATACACCTGAATTCATTTTGTAATAAATTATTATATTTGTATATTATCTATAAGTTACTGTGATTGCAAAGTATTTTTGAGAAATGGATTAAAATTTGAATATTTTGTACAAACACAACTCAGTTACTAGTGCTAATTAGATTTTGTCAATCTTACAATATATACTTGTATAAAGTATTTAATGTACTTACCGGGGTAAGAATTAAGATGGGTTTTTATACCAAGCGATAGAAGTGATATTCCTTTTCTTAGATAATTCATCTAAAATTAACAAATTATTAGATTAGATTTTAATATGGAGAATTCCTCTACAAGGATCTTTAATGTCGGTACCGGACGGTACCAGACTATTAGATAAAAAAAATATTTCAATATTTACCTTAATACTATTAATTTAAAAGGTTATTCCATAAAATAATAAAGTTTTTACAATCTAAACATAACCTACAATATTAAAAAAAATATATTTGACTTTTAAGAATTATTACAACTTACAAGTGACAATGGACTTTAAAGTAAGAATGAATGTTGCTAGTAACACATATTTATAAACAAGTGTTACTATTCACCGCTAGATGGAGCTTTTCGAAATAAATGGGTCCATCAAGCGTGGACTAACAGGGCTTTAAGGCCTTTTTTCACTTGATTTGTATTTAATATTTTTAAGTTTATGTTAATACGTAGACAGAAGTTTTAAATTTCTTAGTAATTATATTATTATCTTCGCTGAAAACATTTATGTGATAATATATATGTTAAAGAAGCTAAGTTGAAGATTCCAGAATCTTATTTTCAGTTACGAGTTAGGACCGAATTAAAAGTTGAAAGCAAATCTGTTAAAGTTTTATTGGCTGGTTCAGTCGGTTTTACCATTTTTATGGGAATTTAAGATAACTCGCAACTGAGCTGGAGAGTTATAATCTTTCTCGGCATTATGTAAGGATACTTTTACCTTATTTTTAAAAGAAACTCATGAGAGTTGAAAATATTTTATAAGAAATTATAATCAAATTTATTTTTATACGTTTAGATTTTATAGTTTATATTAGTATTTGGATATAACACATGTTCAAATACACAATTATATAAGTATACACAATCGTATAGATCTTTAATTATTTATTGATTATTTCGTATGAGGTCAATTTGGCAGATATAGGGTTGTCTTCGGTGACACCAGTAGTCCCGTAGTCCAGGATTTGCAGCGTCTATTGCTCCACAATGAGGCTCTTCAGGAGCATTACTAGAATTAAAAACAATAATATTTTAGAAGGTTTTGAACTTTTATAATAAATTTTCCCTTTTTTACATTCACATCTGGCAGACCTTTATTTTTACGATCAAGTACGTACCTAATAAAAAGTTAAAAATACGGCGTTTGATAATTATTTTATTTTTTTTAATATTTTGAAGGAACTTAAAATCACACCTCATACAGTAGTTTATTGGCAAAATAGGTGTCTCTTTTTTAATCCCTTCGTAAAATAAAGAAAAAACATATATAAAAAAATTAAAATTTAGAATATTTTAAAAGAGGGGAAAATATTTACCTAAACCCCTTTCCGTTATCTCCAGTCCATGTCGAAAAGCCAGTCTTCTTTATGTCTTCACCTAAAACAAAATTACATACATTTGAATATTTGTCACGTAGCCGATGGGAAATTCAATAAAATTCTTCATCTTCGTCGGAAATCAGAAATGCACGCCATACCCACATTACCTGAAAATGAATATTGCGTGTACGTATTTACTTAATGGGTCATTTTGTATAGTACAAGTTACAAACACACGCGTATATTATCTTTTTATAAGGTTTACCTAAATGTTTCACCAACGCAAACTTTATATAATTTTATCGGATTTAATGCAAAACTACAAAAACGAACAACCTCCTACGAGATTTATAAATTAAATCTGCTTTATAAAATAAAGTCGGCACGTTTAAAACAGCGTTTATTTACGCAACATTAATTATCGGAGTCAATTATGCAGCAATAAACATAAAGCAGTGGTGCGTCAAAAATAAATCAAATTACTATAAATCGCATATTAAACATAATCTCGTTTTCAATTACCGAGGGAGTGAAAGAGCGCAATCGCACCGCGCATTGCAGCCTATCTCAGTGATACATTGCCGTGCAGTACGTGACTAGCCTATTTCTCAATTATACTTTTGTACTTTCTTAATAACGACCGATCTATTAAAGTTTTAACAACGTATACCTAAAGAAAACAATTGCATCGAAAAATATTATACCTAATGTGACGTGTTATTAAAACGGAAATCCGATTCCATAGATTATGAAAAACACTTTCTAGGTAATAAATAGGATTGTTATATTTAGGTATTGGGTTCTATTTCGATAAGGAGGGAGCTTGTAGCTTATTATTTATCAGAATGCCAAATCGTAAAATGACTGCTTCACGACTGATTTGAGTGCGCCGCTGCGAAAACCGCTGTGCGAGTTCGAAAAGTGAGTTACAGAATCGCAAGGCTGATTATAATAAAATTAGAAATTTGACATAATCTCTGGTGGGCAAGGCGTGAGGCCTATGAAAACCTGATTAAGTCAGGTAGTACTACAACCATACAGTATTATTTCAATCAAGATTCAAGGTACAAACAAAATAAATTTCCGTTGGTTCATACCGTTGTTACCCTATAGCAATGATTACTTATAAGAGGAATTCAAATACATTATTATAATATAATAACGTAAGTAACGTAATATAATATAATAATAACGTAATATTTTACCGTAGATGTTTCTCCAAATTTTATAGTCTTCTAAATTATTGATTCCAAGCCAGACCACTAATTTGTTATCTGTTCCGTTGATGCTAGGGTAATGCATACCACGGACTAGTTTCTGGATAAAGAAGAACTCGTCCTGAAAGCCAAGGTTAATTATCTCAATATTGATTATTGTAAAAGATATAGATCTACATAGATAAACATCACGATTATAATCATATTGAAAAAAGAAAATGTAACCAGAAAAAAAGGAGCGCGAATAAACCAAAAAATATCGAATCAGCCGTTATTGTTCATCTCCTTATTCATAAATACATAATTCGGTCTAATTGCAGTATGATGAGTAAATTAGTCTTTTGTGGGGATAACCTAGTTGATATTGAAATTAATAAATACAAACAGTTATAATTGGTATATCATTGTGTATGTCCTAAAAACCGTTTAAATATACATATATACCAAAATGAGTAAAAAAATAAAACTAGACCTGTGAACGAGGTACTGCTAAGTGTGCCCCAAGTTCATTGCACGTGTCCCTAGCCACCGGCCAAGTTGCAGATTGATACATCAATTTGTAGGCATTTTTAGTTGCTTTGTTAAGGATGAAACCTGAGATGTAAAAGTATTTCAATTGTATTTTAGTTATTTGATCAGATGCAATAAAGGTGGTTGATTGTGTAAAAATAGCGATAGATTACCGAGTACTTTGTCAAGTTAAAAAAAAGGAAAGTACCGACGATTATTGATTTTTATTGAATTATTATTTAAACGTTTGGGTTCATTTAGGAGCTAGGATGTTTTTGTTAAAATATTGAATTATTCTGCAAGAAAATTTATAACATTCTCTAGTTATAATACGTCTAAGGCTACGTCGCGACATAGTTTTGAATATCTCAATATAATAAAACTAAAACAGCTATAAAAACTAAATTACTGGAATTTGATACAACAATCGAGAGGACACCTAGAAGACCCATATAACGGAGTTTTCTCAGTTTGGGCCCTTGTCTCGTAACCATTAATATTTTTCATTGTATTCTTAAGTAAAAGTTAAAGTTGTAAATTTAAGAGGAATCAAAAAACTATTGGCTTTATTACTAGTAAACAATACAATTAATACCAGACCTTTAGGTAGACCGGCTTCCAGAAGTGTACCAAATAGAAGAAGAAACGCTACTTGAATTCTGAAACTGGACATTTCAAAAATGTTTAGTGACAAAGTGCCTTCATTACATAAAATGATTTCGTAATTTAATTAATAAATAAAATATCAAACCTTACCTCATTTCAGTCTGCTAACGTTCTGAAAGCAATACACAAAATTATTTTTCACCGTTATTCACTAGTTATTTTAACGACATTTGAACGAACTAGTAAATAAAGTTATGAATATATTTTATTCTACATACATAAAAGGGTATTAGTAACATCGGATAAAAGTTATTTGATAGATAAACGCCACGATGGGTCGTCCTGAAATGACCTCGTTCTATCAACAAGGGTCAAATTACCCGTATTGCACGTGGGCTAGAATTACACATTGATAAGCGTACCTAGTATCATTTACATAAGCGAGCCATGAACAATGTTTATGCACCAATATCGGCTACATTACATAGTAATTGTATAAATTATAATCAAAATAAAAAACGTTTTAACTTACTCCTATTATGCATTTAACCGGTAAAAATAAAATAAAAAAATATGTTTATTATGGAACATAAGATACAGGTATCACTTATTCCACGTCATTAAATTTGAATAGGTAGACATCCCTACTCATCGGCAAAGAAGACAGAGGGTGTAGGCCGAGAGAAAAACTCTCGGCACTCTTTTAAAATAGCAAATCATCAAACGACAGTTATTTAAAAACAAATATCACCAATTAATTAGAAGTAGCCTGTCTAGCACTAGTCCCAGGCCCTTTTATCAACTAGATAATCGTTAACTTTATAGTAAGCCTTTTTACACAGCTTTTCTTTAATACATTTCTTAAATTTATTAAAAGGCAGAGATAATAGAGCCTTTGGGATTTTATTAAAGAAGAGTATCCATTTTCCCAATAAATAATTACTAACTTTAGATAGTCTAGAACGGGGAAATTGCAGCCTGCGTTTGATCCGAGTATTAACATTGTGCGTATGTTCTATTCTAGTAAATTTATCACTATTTTTGTAAACATACATAATATTTTATATTGCGAGGGAAAGATAAGTATATTAATTTATCTCTCAGAGATTCCCTACTTTTCAAATAATTTATTGGACGAAAAATATTATTTTAATATTGACCACTGAAGTTTTGAATCCATGGTGATTCCAAGAAATACCTACAGTTGTATCATCCAGATTTAATTCCTCATCATTTATAATTGGTCTAGTATCCATAACCCTTGCATTTTTTGCACAAAATTTAATGCATTTTGTTTTTTTGCATTAGAAGTTTATCTACTTGAAGGGTATTATGTAGATATAATAACCATTCACTATCATATAATACAACAAAAAATTTTACCTCATTTTCTGTTAGGTCTTAATATATATTTCTAATTGTACATTAAAACAATATATATTTTAGTAATATTCTATTATTTAATTGAAAATGTCAATATATCAAATGCAAACCCAATCGTTATTTTTATGAACCGTTTATTAGTAATCATAACAATGAAATATACAATCGTATTTACAATTGTCGTAACCTACATAGATTAATTATTTTTATTAGCAAGTTATTTATAGATAAATATCATTAAACTCAGTTTAAAAAACTCTCCGATACAAGCAAAGATCATACATAAATTGTGTTTTATACGTTTCTTTATAGAACAAATAAAACAATGTAACGTGACCTAATTTTATAATCTTTCCAAACCACTGTGCATAGCAAAACAAGAGAAATTGAATTAAAACGGTACCTTCTTTTAAGCGGGAACCTTCTCAGCGTAACTTTAAATAACGCGCGTGCGGCGTGAGTTGTCCTCGAGGGCAGGCGTTATAATGTACTTACTCGAATCTCGATCCTCTAGAGAACAGTTATGCGTGGCCAATGACTAATATTGTCCGAAACAACGGTGATATCAAGTTCCTTTAATATTTAAATGAGCTAATAGAAATCTACTGTCACAATATATTTTCTTTCACTATTGATTTTTGTGCTTGTGACCGATATTTAAGATACTTACTACAATTGGATACTAAGATAATAAAGTTGATACTAAATTTTATGTTAAATATTAGGTAATAATGTATAGTATTATAGTTTTAGGTTTGTTGGATTGGCATTTAAGTGATAATACATACACAGACACACACACATACTCCATGTGGTTTCCTTATATTATATCCTTATAAATCAATTTTGTTAACGTTGCAGCCTATGTAATATTGATTGTTTATTCTCACTAAATTTTCTCTACTTTTTAAGACCTTCTGTCGATCCGAAGTGGTGGAGGTCTGATGACCTGTAACACAGGTACCTTTAGCAGGCATCAGTCTCACACAAACTAGCAATTTCCCTAAATAAAAGAAGGGCAATTATTTATTTATAATAGTATATAACTGTCACTTGTTTATGTACTAAGTTTATTTGAGAAATAATAATAAAGAATATTATTATTAAGATGTGCTTTGGAATATCAAGAAATATGGTCTCAGTTAAATGAAAGTCATTGATTATTATTATCGATGTTTATTCTACCCAAATCCATAATAAAACCCGTGTCCAGCCCCGTGACCCCCATATTTCCAGCCCACTCCGTAACCTCCTATGGCATTCCTATACCTGCCTTCGTCGTGGTACTGATATACGGGATCCTTTCTCTGAAGCGGAATAACCGAAAGTTGGTTTACTGGTACCAGCTCATGAATTGGCACCAAGTTAAGCTTATTCTCGTTCCAGCGGTTTCCATGAATAGGCAGGACTTGCAGACTGGGAACTAATATTTGATATTGATAGGGATAGGTGGGCGCTTTTTTCTGACGTAAGGTCTTTTTTGATATCACTTTGTTTGGTGCTGTTGTAACTGGAAATAGTATGTGACCGATGATGAGAAGAAATATGAGGCAGAACTGCATCTAGAACAAACCAAATGCAGTTATGTTTAAAAACAAATGCCCTCAAGTGCCAGAAGTAAAATGTATTATAATAAGCGATTAACTGATTAATATTTATCAAACGTTGACGGCAGCTTTGACTGCCATAGTCGATATTAATTTATAATATTCTTTAATTTTACTATTTACTGGAACAATAAGACATAAACACATATTTTATGGATGAAAAATAAACCATGATAAAATACGTAAAATGGCACTAAATGTCTATTTTTTTCTTATTATTAAATGAAGATAGATAGACAGTCGGGCAGTAACCGTCAGGCACCCGTATCATTCAAACTATGCCAAAAAGATTAAAGAAATGAACCCTTTCAATGAAGTTACGACCCTTTAGCGAATCGTTCGGTAACTCAATACAAGAGAACATTTGACACGTAAATTGTTCTGAAGTCGAAGCAATAACGTAGGAATGCTTATTGAGTGCCGGAGAGACATGTGTCACTCCCGTGACACGTTGACACGCTGCCGATGAAAATAATCTCTATTGTTGCGGCTTGTTCTCAGTTTGAGAGTTTAATCTCTAAAGTGTAAAACAATTAGACTTTTTGTATTTGCCCAAATATTAGGTGTACTATCTTATGTTGTGTATATTTGTAACCAATATTATTATCCTTGAAGACTTTCACTACTATTCAATGCCTTGCATATAAAGCAGGTACATTTGTTTGTTTGTTAAGTTGAACAAACTATTTTTGATTCATCTCAAAATCTTCAACTTATTAACATAACAACAAACGTTGAACATATCTTAACACGTACACAATATTTTAGAATAATAATCACTAAAATAAAAATATAACTTTACTTACGGCGAAATTCACAATATTTTTTTCTTGATGAAAGCTATATCGAGAATACTAATGCTATATTTTCGCCTTTTGTTTTATATAATGTTTGGTCGCTAAGCTTTGGGCAAGGCCATATTATGCTTTTGTGGCTCTTAATAAAGCGATTAAAAATTTAATTTAAATGTTGTTAAAGATAATAAAACATTCAGATAGACTATTTCGTTTCAGTTCCGATATTTTAACTTAAGTACTATTTCGTTATTACCTAGAGTTATTCGCGTACTTGGCAGTTGGCATATTTGGATTGTATGATTGACTTGATTTCAGATTAATCTATTGCAAACATTTTTGTCTACATTTTAGTTGATTAATATGAATTAATTTCATATTTGAATTTTTTATCTTTATCGTAAACAAATAAAGTGATTGCTTCTGTAAGTGAGCATTCTTTGGTTTAGTTGCTATTTATATAATATACATTTGCTTCTTGGAAATGAATACCAAAAGTCTAGTAATCAATATTTTATTGTTAATAAAACGCAACTTTAATGGCTGTGATTACAAATTCGGCATTGACAAGAATTAATTCGAAGCTAGTTTTGGATCCGATATCTTATAAATTGGAAATGCATTGTAAATTAATGACAGGTAAAAGTTATTTGATCGAATTACCGTTAAAACTGATAAGTAAATAGGTACGCTTGAATAAAGATCTCTTTGTGTTTATGATACCCATTAATAACAATGAATTTGCATTGCATGATTTATTGTTAATTTATATAGATAGGCAAATAAATCAGTCTTCTGTGCCTACACGTCGTGGATGTTTCGGTCTAAGCCGCTGTTTTTCTTCACTTTACGAGCAAGTGTTAATGCGCACAAAGAAAAAAATCCATTCTTGCACTGCTGGCGTTCGAGTACACGAAATCAGAGTAGAAAATTACAGGTAACTGCCCCTTTTTATTGTAGTCGAGTTGTTCCCTGAGAGATACGACCTCCAATTGTTCAAAGTAAGAACACCTCTCTCAAAGGCCGGCAACGCACCCACTAAAATGGGTGCCTGCGATGACTTTGGGCGTCCCGTAGGCTCGTTTACCCCCCTATTTTTATATTCTATTAAAAAAAAACTTTTGAGTAAACGATAAATATATTTATAAAAATCCTTATATTATATTGTGAGATAAAGTAATGATTTATATGGTGTTAGTATTTATTATAGATTGAGGAATGTGACATGTAGACAGAAACGCGAGGCCGAACTGACCCCGCGATCAACTCATTTGCATGAAAGGTTCGCTCCGGGACGGTGAATTATTGAACAGCTGTGCTTTACCGTTCGTTACGTTTGAGAAAAAAGTTCATAAGAGCCTGCATAAATATATAAAACCCAAGTAATAACTATACATGTTGGTATATGAACAATTCCTTATAGGAAATAACATGTAAATCGAAGGCTACCAAAAAAGATAGATATTTTTGTGCATTATTAAAGAAACAATATCGTCTTTAGTCTTAGCATATTTATAAAGTGTTCATGATAAATGTGATTATGCCTAAGACACGGGATCCTCGAAAATTGGTTACCAAATGATATTCTACAAGATCCATTGTGTCGAGGGTCCCGTACAATTAGCATCAAAATTATATTTTCATCCTCGCTTATTGCATGCCGCGTTTACACTCTGCTCAATACTCGTGCTAGACTTTCATCGTCGAATATGTATTAAATAGTTCTATAACGTCGACAAATGTACAAGTAACAATTCAAAAAAGAAGTGAGCCTCGCGGAGATCGTATGCATAAATCAGATTATATTTTATTCTTGTCTGCAAAACAATACTTACAAGTTAAGAATAAAGTATTTCTTTTTATTTACACAAATACAGTATTTACAATGTTCTTAACCTATAAAGTAATAATAAAAATAATTAAAGAAGAAAGAAGAAAATCAAAACAAATTTAAAAAGTTTGGTCCCTGTGGCAGTGTACCTTTAACGCTGGCAGCATTTCCTCGCTGTATTGCGAGACTTATTCTTTGAGCCAGGAAAGTGCCAGCTCTGTGGTCACCGGTACTATCTACCAGGCGCCAACTTAAATCTTTAATAAGCGCCTGTGCACTTGAACCCCACGGCCCAAGAGTCTCTACTCCAAAGGGAACAAAATTGAAGTTGGAGGAAAGACTCTTATATTTGTGCCGTTTGTTAATTTCTGCCTGTTCTGCGGCCGCGCCAGCTTTTTTGCTTGTCCGAAGGAGATGAGACGGGGCAAAGGTGTCTACACAGGTAGCATCCCATACTAAAGCCCGTCCCATTTTCCAAGGGATCAAAGACATTCCATCCGGCCGCTTGCCATCGTCTCTTGCGATGCCTGTTGGCTCCAAAATTGCTGGAACATTGACAGAGGCAAGAGAGCGGCGTATAATGTCGTTTAGCGCGGCATGGCGAGAAAAACGACCTGCACTCTTTTGGCAGTGTAGGCCATGGTGTCCAAGGCTACTTACTTCAAAACCACAGGGACACTTATGGGGAGTACATATGGGCACTCCTAAGCGTAGGCTGATGGCAATTCGAAGTGAATCTATGGTCTAAAAGGGTGCCAGTGTTTGGCGAAGGATAAGCATTAAGCTAATGTCCAGCTTCCCTAGACCCCACAGCCATCAACCTTGCACGGTCTGTTATTGGAATGTGACCTAATAACTTTTTGAATTCACATTTGCAAAGAGGATCATCCCAGCTTCTTTGAAAGTTGACGCTAGAAGGCAAACTCAAACCTGGGTTGGATGCTATCCACGCGTTTCTTGCATCTGTTAAATCCGCAATCTCGTAGTTTGTAGAATAATATCTAAGAATTTTACCTACCAGACTGCTAGATTTGTGAGCAGATGAGAGAAACGCTGGAAGAGCTACACTTGTTATCTTGCGTACTCCTAATCCGCCAAAGCGAACAGGAAGCGATGCTTGATTCCAAGAAGGTGTATCAAAACGAACATTTAAAATAGATTCCAAAGAAGTTTTTAAAAGATTATCCAAATCACTTAAAAAAATTGAATGATTCCATAGAGGGCTACAGCGAAGTACGTAAGTTAATTTGGGAATAAAAAGGCAGAATTTTAAAATGAACAAAGCTGAGTGTGCTGTAATATCCAGAAGACGGTGAGAAAGATCTTTAAATTTTGATATTGTCGAGTTAATGTATTCTTCAAAACCTTCTTTGAAAATCGGTGCTCCTAAGAGGTACAGCGATTTTTTATTTATTATTTTTATATTTGGGGCTAAGGTATTAATTTTTTTGTATTGTATGGTCGGTGTCCATATTCTCACCATGGAGATATATTTCACATTTATCAAAATTTAAAGTTAGACCCATTGAACTAAAATCTGATATTATTTTAGATAGATCTAAAAGTACTACATCTGCGTTACCTCCTAGAGTACCATCGTCAAGATAACAGACGTTAAAATTTGATTTTAAATTTTGTGTGCAAGAATTTATTGCGAGACTAAAAATAGCCGGCCCAAGAGGATCACCTTGTTGACAACCAACTTCTGAAGAGAGTTCGTAACTCTTGTATGTTAATTTTGATGGCTCTGAGTAACACTGTAAAAGATAGTTATATATTTCTGGAATGTTTTCAAAAGACTTAGTCAGCAAGGTGTCCCTGCTGATTGAATTAAATGCATTCTTGACGTCAACTTTCAACAACACATCAAATTTTTCGTTAGAAAAAAGCGTGCGCAAAGCGTGTATAGCAGCTTCACATCCACCTTTAGTGCCAAAGCCAAGTTGTGTTGGTTCAAAAATTTTGTTCAATTTACTAATTATATGTTTTACTGCAATTTTCGAGGTTAATCTGCGAAAAGTGCTACCTACAGCAATTGGCCTCACCCCACCATCTTTTTTGGTAAGTGCCACCATGTTTGCCCCATATAAAATAGGAGCAATAGCTTGGTTTATCTCCCCGCAAAGCATTTTATTTACGAGTTTTTTAAGAGCTTCTAAAAGCCTAGCACCTGTATCACCAACACTGAATGAAGTTAAATCTTTAAGATGTTGGGGTGACAGCCCATCCAAGCCTGCAGCTGATCCTGGTTTAAACGAATTTATAGCGTTTAGAATTTCATCCGTAGACTGAATTTGAAGGCAGGCCTGGACGTCTGTGGGAGGGTCTAAAAAAAAAAGGTGTGTCTGGAGCACTGGGGTGCTTTGCTGCAAGTGTATCCGGGGTGTCAAGGGCCAGTACATCATTTGAGAAAAGAAGTCTGGCGGCCCCCTTTAGATCTCCATCGTTAATTTTTTGTTCAACTATTTTTGAGACACATTTTGGTCTTTTTCGAAAGGTTCTAATAGCCGGAATCAAAAATGGATTTATACATGTGGGATCATTACAATTGTTTTTAAGTTTTTGAGTTAGCGAAAGGTTATCACTGGACTGTACATGCAAGAAACTATAAGGAAAAGTCAATAGTTTCTCCCATGAGTCTGTACTGTTTTCTGTTATGCATTGCGTAATATATGATTCTAATAAAGAGGCGATGGAGATCCGGGCACCTCGAGGTATGCGTTTAACAACTGGACATGTTTTTTTTAAATTCGAAAGTAAAGTTTGAAGTTTTATGTGGTCTGGTGTCGCTTGCCTATCTGTGCTGTTATTAAAAGAAAGTTGTGAATTTTGTATAGTGTCTCTGTGTATCTTTGTTTTGTGTATTTTTAAGCCCCGGATTGTATTAAAACTTTTTTTACATAGGTCACAGGTCAAATTTTCCATATGTACAGTCCACTCCGCGTTTATGAAAAATACAAAATTAGTACTCTTAAAATAAGTCAAAAAAAAAACTTAAATAACCTTAAATTAACTTAAATACGTGACAATAATATATATATATATATATATATATATATACAAAGAAAATATGAAAATAAAATAAACACACAGACATCAGCAGGAGCACAACACAAGCAAAAGCAGGAGCACAACACAAGAAGAAGCAGGAGCACAAGCAAAAGCATGAAGAGCACAAGCAAGAGCACTGAGAAAATATAGTTAAGGTTTAGGAAGAAGCAAATTTCGTCTGACCACTATTAAATTGTCCGTTTCTTAGACTTTACGTAATTAATTTTTTTCTTGATTTTGTTTATTTCCATTTTTTACGCATTAAATATCATCATTTTGCATCATATTCCATTTAATTTAATCAATTTTTATTTCTAAATTCTCATAAATATTTTTTTTCATGTTGTCACTTTGACAACTTTTTTTTTTTTTTAACTTTCTTAACTTATATATACAAGTTAAGAATATATATTACTGTTGCTTTGCGACCGACATCATCTATATATCAATATAGGGGTGCACCCTAGGTGTATGGGTGACTGTTTCTAGTGGTATAGCTACAAGTACGGAGTAAGTGAGGCATAACTGAACCCTAATAAAAAGGGCTTCAAGGACTTGTGTTGTGCGGAATCGTCTCATAACGAAAATGGGTGTTAAATTTATTTGAAAAGGTTCGAAACAAGCCATTCTTCGTGCAAAGCGTCTGGAAAAATGATGTAATAAAACAAAAATATACTTACGTTAAAATACTGTAATTATAATTACGAAAAATAATTTATTATTTTAAATTGACAATTTGAGAATTCAATTCTTATACGAAATCTTATCGAATACGATTGGTACTTACGCATTTAATAATAGCTTTTATCGCTTCATTTAAAACTAAATTAGCTTGGCCATTCATTGATAATTACAATGACGGTATTGATAAACAATTATTAGCACAACTTTTTGGCATTTTTTATAAACAGTAAATCAGAACTAAACTGTATTATTGTTGACCGAAAATAGAGTGTGCAAATTTTCCAAAGTATTGTACCGGGGGAAAGGTCGGTAATGCGACTTGAGCAGCGTAGCCGGAGTTTTGTGCGGGTGCCTGTGAATATTGCTGAGCCAGTTTCGTTTGGGCAGCCTGTGGCTGATGTTGGAGTTGAATTTGCTGTATGACTGCTGGTTGCTGCAACTGCTTGAAGTACACTTGTTTCTCACTCTGTTTTGACTTCACATATTGTGGTTGATAAGGCTGAATTTGAAGAGGCGGAAGCTGTGGTTGATATTGCACTCTCCCTTCGCTTTGCTGGTACTGTTGATAAGGTTGTTGCTGGATTTGGAACTGTGGAGCTTCATACTGCTGTACCTGGTACTGCTGTGGTTGCGCTTGGTATTGGGGTGGTTGTACTTGAGGAAGTTGATACTGAATTGGTTGGTGCTGTAGCTGGTACTTGATGAGTTGTTGGGGTTGTGGTTGATACTGCGATTGTTGTTGTTTTTGTGCTGATTGGTCACGTTGGTTTTGTGCATAAGAGGCGTAGCTAATGGCACCTTGTGATGATTGTGGTGTGTACGTCTGTAATAAAAATATATTATAAATAAATTGTATTCTTCAAAATGCAGTATATTTTAAATGTGAAACTGTCAGTATATTTGTTTCACTTTCATAACGCTATAAATATTTCACCTGTTGGATATTTTGAGTCACAGGTTGTGGTTCAGGTCTGGCTTGTTCCCCCTGATAGGTAACTGGTAACTCTTGACGATACGCTGTTTGAGGCTGAATAGATTCTTGAACGTACTGGAGTTGATCTGGGGTGTACTGTTGATACTGAATCAACGGTTGTTGATAGTTGATCGGCTGGTTGGATATGGGAGAAGTTGTTTGTTGGTAGTTAGCCGGTATGGGTTGGGGTACTGAAGTTTCGTATTGCTGCAAAATTTGTGGTTGGTAATTGGCGGGTAAGTTAGTCTTCGGTATTGATTGAATGTTCTGGGGCTGAAAAGAGTGTTCCGCATACGCCAATTGGGACGGCACGGGCGGTGAAACTTCGTAAGTTGGGAACTGCAAAGATGAAGCAACATTAATTAGACGGTATTTAATGACCACATTTATAAAGCAATATTATCTGCGACTATTGAAATATGGAACAAATGAAAGTTGTTTTTAATATGCGTTTAGTCAAGGCCAATCTTACCCTTGGTTGGTAGATGGATACAGGGGAGTAGAGTTGGTTTGCGATGGCGGCTTGGTAGGGTCCACCTTGAGCTAGGACGTCTGATATCTTTGAAATTTGAGGTGCTGGGGTTGCGTATATTTGCTGAAATAAAAATGCTTTTACATAGTCTTCATTTATTTCTGCTGCTGCTGCTTTATTTATTTTTGTGCTTTAATTATTAACTTAAATAACCATATGATAGGTAAATGATTTCTTAATCTTCTTTGTTTTAAGACTGTACCATAAGCCCTAAAACTGATTAAAATCCTTGTTATCGGTTAAAAGCATAGAGATAATGTACCGCTGCGCCACGAAAGAGGTATTACCCCCTCCCAGCTCCCCATTAACACCCTCCGTCGATAAGCCGATTAGTGTCATAATTATGAAGGATAGCTCGCCGAGAGGGAAATCCTCCTTAGATATAAAATATTTGGCTTCTACTGATAATAATAAAAATATAACTCATAATGTTTTTAAATTTTGGTTCGATACCAGGTTAATAAATTTTGATATATGTATTTTCAAAGGTAGCCAGGTTTGTATGCCGAAGATTCACTAAGATTTATACGTAGTTTACATAGTCTCTCTACCTAGTACCAATTACCTACCGCAGGTAACGGTGAGATATTTCGCTATTACATTGCAAGAGCCACTTTAGTAAAATGAATAGTCAATCGGAATTTTATAAATCGTTGAAAATGGTAGAATAGATGAGCTGGAAGCTATAAATAACATCGTGATTACAGTCTCCGGCGGGGAATTGGGAGCCGACACCGTGACAGGAAAACCTACATTTTGCCAACTATTTATAGTGCAATCCTTTTTACATACGTGCGAACGAAAACTGTTTATATTTAACACTTTGACTTCATTTTTTACACCAAAATATATCATGTAACACGAATAAGGAGGCACATACAAACATAACTTTTATATTGTATATTTAATTATAATAATTCTGCAAGTTTAGTACTCGCTACAATGTTATTTATATGATTGGATGACGAAACATGTCGATTATTGCATAACATATCATATGTAATGGATAATGCGATCATATGTATAAATTTAATATGGCCGAACAGAACACTCGTAGAACTTCTCAAGTCAGGTCCCGATGGGCTAATACAGACGTTGAACAAGCAATTTATAAACTTATAATTGGCGTCTTGAAGTTAACGAGACCAGATAACTGTCGCACATAACAGCTGACAAACTATACTTAATAATATTGTATTAATTGTTACTTCCGAGAACTTACATAATATACATAGTATAAAGTAATGTGAATGTGTATCGTATACATGATAAAAAGTGTGTACGTACTAGTAGTCAACACATAAAGGTATATTTTGCAAAAGGACCAATTTACCGATTTTCTATTCCGCCGAAGGTGCAGGTGTCAATTGATGTGTAAACAATATGTTCATCCACAGAAAATACGTTTATAAAGTAACAACTTTATAAACGTATTTTCTTATTCCGTATTTAGAATATATACTATTGCATGTATAATTATATAAAGCGCTTAAAATATTTTATAAATCAAGTTGGAAACACTGTTAATAGGCCGGACTGTAAGTAGAACAGTCTACGGGGTGATTTGTATGAAGAGAGTAAAAAGTGACTTTCAATTTAAAAGCAGTTAAAAGAAGAAAAGCGAAGACATTCAGAATTGTAACTATTGTCTGTAGTTTCAAACGTCTTTATATGTAATTTTTAAAGTATTATTATATGCACACAGACCTGATTTATTAATAAATACTATTTCGGTATTTATATGAAATATGAACGTTTTAAAACGGTAACTTTTGTGGTTTCAATGGATACATATTTTAGTATCACATTTAACCCATACGGTGATGCCTAGTCTATTTACCCTAAAGTTTCAACTTACTTTTAATGCATTCGTTATTGCTTCACACCTAAATAAGACTTAAAATGGAAATACAACAGTTTCAAATGTGTGAGTTTGTAATACTTGAATTCCTTATAGTTAATGTTAATATGTGTTTTGTACGTAAGTTACGTTTGCTATTAAATAAAACTGTAAAAACCATTTTTACATAAATATTAAAAAAAAATCTAATATAATATTGTGATAAAGATCAGACACACGAGGTTTACGAAGTTTTGCGAACGAAGAGAGATAGTTCAGTGCATTTATAAGGTACGATTGACGAAGCCACTTTCAAGCAAGTCAATTACGTAATCCACTGTCTATCTTTGAGCAGAGACAATTTTCGATTTTTATAAATAGGATTTTTCATGATTGACACACTAAAAAGCAAGATGATTTCGTTTGCAACAAATTAATGTTAAGTAATCCATTTAAATATAACCTACTATTTGTTTGTTAATTAAATTAAAACATTAAGCCGAGAAGCAACTCCAGACGATACATCATTGTTAATGACATTTGCCGCTTCGAAGAACTCATCATTTGCTACATCAAATTAAAACAAGTAATTTACTTGTTATATAACGTATATCCATTGATATACAAAAACCCAAGATGCACAATCAACGTCTAAAAAACGTCCTCAAAAAATGAGCGCAACATTCTAAATTGTGCGCTCATTTCAAATAGTCTCGCGTCTATAAGTGGAGTCGATGTTATTTATTTGTGTTTTTTTTATAAATAAATTTATGTACTCTTGAACTTTTTTGTGTGTAGTTTTTGACAAATATATTTACGCTATATAAAGTGTGGGTCAGGAGGTAGCCAATTTAACATTTTTTTTTAATTTAAAGAAAAAACTTTTTAACCGGATTAATGTTATGTATTATTATAAATTTACAACTATTTAACATCTAACACCTTTTGTCTTCAGTCACCGTGACCACTCACGCTGTAAAGCACCCGAAAAGTCGGATAAATTTAAAATTATGTTAAATAGTTGTAAATAAAAAAAGTCATGTTTGACTCCACTCAATACCTTGTCCTACCGACCACGGTCGGTCGTAAAATTTTATTGCTTTAAGTACGTATACACTGCGTTGTAATAACAACTTTAAGCAATTCGCGTAAGGTTGATTTTGCAATAATATATGCTTGTAACATATACTGTTATGGACAGAAATAGTGTTTCGGGACACTTTCGAGCGTTACTTTTATTCGAGACTGTGCATCTTGGGTTTTTTGTATATCAATGCGTATATCACTCTTTATTAGGTGTCACCTTGGTTGGATAAGGTATCAGAAGATTAGGAAGATCTCAATTAATTATTCATACAGAATGTATTAATTAGTTTTCTGTCCGAAAGCATTTTATATCTCTTCTGATATTAATATTTGTTGATCAGCTTACAGTTGGTAAAATTATTCTTTGACACATATGTTTTAATATTAAGCAGTCATTTATTCAGATTTATATGTATACGTAAAGATTAAATAAACACAGTTCTAGCTACAATTGAAATAAAAAATATAGATATTTTCATGACGACCATAAGGAATTATATACATCAGAATATCGAATACACTGATAAACTGCCTGCGAATTTGTGTTAAGAAATAAAAATGTCTGCCCTACCGCCTATTTTCCTTGTCATTCACAAGTATAAAGAGAATGGCCGATAATAGCTCTGATTACGTGTTGTATAAAAACTTGTTGTACTCATTAACAGTTTCATCATTTGATGTTAAGTAAAGTTATATCACTTATCAATGGACGCCTAAACTTGTTTTGAGTAATTAAACGGAAATTCAGAAAGTGGTAGCTGAGTTTATTCCAAATAAATGCTTCCTAAACACTGTTTAATCTCAATAATATGTTTTTTAGTTTCACCATATTAAAGTATCTTTCTATAAAAGGGGCGTAAAAGGAGCAGGAGGCTCAATTGACGTTAAGTGATATCGCCGCCTGTCATTGAATATGATTCAGAAAACGGCATTAACACGAACGACGAAATGGAAAGCATGAAATGCGAATTCGATAAATAGTCCGTAGTGGCAGCTGCCGACACCTCGCTTTAATTTTACTGTATTTTTAATTAAGTTCAAGCTTTCGGCATACCCAAAGTAAATTGACGTTGAAACCAAATGCTCATGGAACCTGAGATAAATCAAAACAATGAATCAGTTGATGAGTTAATCTCGCGAATTACTTACTATTGTTTGTTATGGTTCTTCAGTGGAAAATAAAATTAGGTTTTGTCAGTAGTAATTAATTAAAAATTACATTAAAAAATTGTTCTCAGTTTTAAATAGAATTAACCAAAAAATTTGAAAACGCTTGTTTCCCGTAATCACTACAATACGACTAATTACTGTTAGGAAACATTACAAGAAGTGTCATTGTGCAGTGTCGTGAGACTTTTCTGTTATTTCTACTCTCGTGTGTTCCGAACTTTTTGCATTCTATTTCCTCTGCAATTACTGCCTGGTTACAAATATATTAGCAATACATATATTATTAAATAAATGTAACACGAAAAAAAAAATCGCAAAGTTTAGGCTTTTAGTGTTTCGCATTACCTATTACAAGTATAATTTATTACGTAGTGTCTAAAAGATAAATAAAATTTAGAAAATAATTGTTTCAAAATTGACTTCAAAATATGCTAAAAAGTATACGATCGTTCGAATCGGTCAAAAAAAATTACACGTCGAATTGGTGTGTAAAGGAAGTGAACATAATTACATGTTATTCCTGGATTGGATTTGATTTAACTAATGCATTAAATTTGAAGTGATATTATTATTAATATAATTATTAAAACTTGACTTTCTTATGCAATTTCATAATTATTCAAGCAAATTAATTAACTCTGTCAGTCGTTAGGATTTTCTAAATGTATTCATTAAATTTGCGAGTTGGATACTGGTTGGATATCCTTATCAAGATGTTAAGAATATGTTAAATTTACGTAACCTCCCGGCAGAAAGCGGTTATTTTAACCAGTAATTGCATCATACACATGACATAAGTGGACATATTAAGATGATAGTAGAGCAGGTAGTAATCTATGTTTCTTATTAACCAATATTAATTCAAACAATATTCAGCTTAATTACTAAATTTATATATCGTATTTTCGATCGGCCAAATAATTAGTATTTTTAAATTAATCAATAAAAATTAATGCCAACGCCATGGTTAACTTAGCCAAGATTTTAACTTAAGCAAAGCCCGATATTTTAACAATAGTTGCATATGTCACCGTAAAATTGTAAACACCGTTAGATTGTAATCTATCTCGCGAGATTGTAAACTGTCGAAAGATTGTGAACCTCAACGAACAACGTAAAATTAATCTGTGATTGACCAAAGAAGTTTGAATGATAACTAAGTTAGTGTCTGAAATGAAATGAAAGAAAATTTCATAAATTTTTCAATTTACAAACAAATATGGTTGCGCGGGGCATATTCCGTTCAACCAATCAGCGCGCGAGGTGCGATCCGTTTCACAATTTGACGGTTACACTTCAGTACCTACGCTGAGGTTCACAATCTTTCGACAGTTTATAATCTCGCGAGATAGATTACAATCTAACGGTGTTTACAATTTTACGTTACCACATATATATCGTAAGTAAACAATAAAATATTTATTTAAAAAAGAAGCAAGGAATGGTTTTATGACAATTTTTACGACAAGTGTGAATTGCAGTGTCTGATTTTACCGTTGTTATATGGGTAATTAAAGTATATTTTTCACAAGTTTTGGAGGTAAATTGATCGTATATATATTAAAACCTTCGAATATGGCCTGAGATGGTGGAGAAATGAATTTTATCGGCCTCTGCGAAACATTGTCACAGGATAAACATAAATATACAGCACCAATGAAAATGTCATGTAGTATTTGAAGTTTGAGTACAATCATTATACTTATTACTTTTCATATTTAACTAATATCTAAAATTTGTAAGTGATTCAAAAAAATTGAACTTTTGATACCTTAAGCTTTTTATTACTCTTGTCACTATTATTTAATTTAAATTTTCGTTTTGCTAACTTTTAACGAACAAGACTAGCTATCTTTACATAAAATTCTTTAATTTCAACATTTTAAGTAATAAATGTCGCACTGCCGCTCGCATCCTGCGTTCCGTTGATATTGAAGGGACACAAATTAAATTTGTACCAAGTGATCCAATTCGTATCGAGATTATGAGATTGTCTAGATTTGCGAAACGTCTTTTATTTATTTTGTAAATACGTCTATAAAAGAGTGTATTTTTAATAAAAACAATATCTAATATAATAACAGTAAAAAATCGGTTTGTTATTAAGAATTTTTATATTTATTTGGACTTTGAATTAAATTCTCTCAAATAGAACGTTGTTACTTTTCATCGTAATAACAAAAGTTAAGACGTGACACTAACCTGACTTGGTGACTGATCGGAATGAGATTCTTGGGTACTGGCATACTCAACACCTGGAGTGGCTGAAGATGAAACTGAAAAAAAAATGAAACCACATATTAAACTTATCTCTTTTGATTATGTGGAAACTGTAACCATTTTTTGTTCTATGTAGTGGATATTTCTATTTAAAGTTACTCAAGATAGAAGTACTATAATAATACAACTTCTAGAAGTACGTGAATTTATTTACAGCGTTAGAGTGCTACAGTCTCTATACTAACATTTTATCTTATAATAATACGAGCAATAAGACATTTCGATACCTGAAGGCAGCAGCGGCGTTCTCTTCTCGAGTCCATTATTTCTATTCGAATCTCGTTTCTCTTTTTCAAAGTCTCCTATTCTATCCTTACTGCTAGAGCTGGTTACTTTGGCGGCTTGGCTGCTTGCCACTAGCAAGAGGATTAACTAAAACAGATAATTTCATTAATTATTTTAACACAATTAAGCATTTGTTTCACTATGTAAGATAGTTCTGTGGAAAAAGTGCCTCTAATTATTTATAACTTTCGCGAAGGCTCTTACAATCTATTATGAAACAGAAGGATATTATATATTTTAATACATATTACAAAAACATGATATATATTAGGATAAAACTATCACAATACACTAACCGTAAGCTTCATAGTGACACTGTACACTCGGTAGCCAAACACTTTCTACTGTGCAGACTCCGGCACCCGCTACTTATAAACTACATTACAACCTGATCATATAAGACCTGATTAAAAACAAAACAAGTGTGATGCAAAGGCTATTTGAAGATCAATTTTTAACGGATATAGATCTACGCGAAGCCTGTTTGTTACACAAGTGCAAGTAGGTTGAATAGATCGACCGAACTTCTGCAAAGTAGCCTTTATACATTTTTTTTTTGCTTGACATACTTGAATATTGCTCTAACTAAATAGTTTTGATACTTTAATAGATTCTTACTGTCTTTCTATCAAATATTTTGGGCAATCAAAAACTCAGCAGCACTAAGCATGAGTCTTGACGATTTATATGCGTGTCCAGCGAGTGTCAATAAAATATGGGATATTTAGTGTGTTTACACTTAAAGTGATTAAAACTTGGTAAGTAAAAAATAAAGCGGTGTTGCTTATAGTGCCATTTCTTAAGTCTTACATTCTGCTACACTAGATAATTGGCATAAACGTTCTGAATAACTGTCAATTATATGGTATTTATATTTGTCAACATTCTAAGTGCTGCTGTCAGCATTTTAAATAAAAACTACACATATTTTTAAAATTAAAGACCCTTTAGAAACATATTATGTTTATTGTTTAAGCACATAATTATTGTAATCTGCCCGATTTTTTAGGAGGCTTACGTTTACACAGCGCAAAATCTCCATCATCTGCACCCTGCCCAATGCCCATCACTGTTTGGTGGACGGGAGTTCGCGGCTATTGGGACCTATAGTAGTAGTAGCTAAACAAATATTATTATTTCTCGCGTTATTTATACCTACGTGTTACAGATTTTGTTATATGTATTATTGCATGTATGCATTTAACTTTGTGTATATATAAAAAAAAGACAAGACAAGACACGAGGATACTGACATTACCTTCCATTTTACCTTACTTCTTCAGAATATATAATACAATGTATTTTAAGCAGATTGTGCTTTAGTGAGAGAAAATTTTGTTTAATCGCGTTAATATTTAATAACAGGCGAATTTTTATGAGATTATTTTTTTATATAAAAGTTGTCTGTATTTTTTAATAAACCTATAAATGTATATTTCTACTATTCTCCTGTGAGATAATACTTAAATCTAATTGTTTACAAAATAAATAAAATTTATGTGAGAGTCGTCATGTTTCAGCAAGAAAATAGCAAGACTGGAAATCTATAATCTCTAAAACTACCAAAGATTTTATTTTGACCTCAAAAAGTCCCATCAAGGAATGAGCCTTAAAGTAATAAGCTGTGTTAATATTCGGCATGTATCGCGTTCTCAATAGATAAGCGTGTTCCACTCTCACGGCCGTCAAGATTCCTATTGTTGTGCGTTTACACAAGTGAGACTAGATAATGTTGTTAAGTAATGTTTACAAAGATAATTAGCTATTAAATTAATAAAAAATAAACGCTAATATGCCGTATCTTCATGTTCTGCACATAACAACTGCAGAGCTTTAAGCTCTTAAAAAGTTTGATAAAGCAAAATTTAATAACACTCATATCCGTGCACGATACAGACAATTGAAATAAATTTAAGTAGCACATTCAGTATTAAACTTTTTGTTCCATAGAAACTGTCGTAAATCATTAAAATTTATTTTTATTTACACATGTAAGAAGTATTTAGCATATTATAAAGTGTAATAAGCAATTACGTAAAATGCAACTAATTTAATGCACGTGAAAGTTATTCATAGTTTTAGCTGTTAAAACTATGTAACATGCTAATGATGTAGTCACAAAAATCAGCAAAAACTAAAATATTCCTGTAATGTATGGCTCAAATATACTTCTTGTTAAACTATTTAATCCTGTCTTCCTTGCTCTTTTATAGGGCATTAATGAAAGAACTTAGAATTACTAAGCAAATAGAAATTCTTCTTTGCTATAAGTCAAAACAGTTTGAAGAATTGACTATTTACTTGACCAATGCAACTAGTTCTATAATAGAGGTCAACATGGCAATGTATTAAGAGGTATCGTTAAAATAAGATCAACTTTCACTGGTACAGTTGGAACACATATATCCACAGGCGTTCGTTACGTCATATCCGAAAGCATAACATATCCGGTCGTTGGTGACTCACGACCTCATAATATGGCCAGAGGGATGGTTTCATAATGATTATATGATAACACAGAATCCCGATCTAAACGGTACATGTGTAGTACTGATGGATAATGAAGTTGTTGGAATTTGAATTGAATAATCAAAATCTCTCTTTCTATCTCTGCTTTGTATACATTATTTTGACGCGGTGTTTTTTGTTATTTGGTAAAAGTATTTACAAAAAGTTTACAGAGGTTCTTAAGCATAATTAATAATAATTTGCCTCTTCGTGAATAATTTTAGGAACATGTAAAAATTTAAAGGACGTTAACACAGCGAGGGGAATGTTGTGAATAAAGCAGCCAAGTTTTTAGACGTTGCCAGCTAATTTTATATAATTGCAACATGTAATTTGGGAGCTCCGTACATGTTAAGGTAACTGGCTTAGGGGTATCACGTTGTTTCATTTTATTCATATTTTTTTTATAAACTATTTCATTAAAAGACGTATTAGAAACGCTTAGCTGTATTTAAAAGCCACAGACTTTAATCACGTCGTATTATTAAACAACCCTATAATTATATTGAGACCTAAGTGATGAGAAGTTCTTTGCCCTAACCCCCTTATAAAGTGTGTAGTAAGTGCTAATGTTCCATAACGTATAGCTGTTTATAATAATAATTAATTAACAGATTGTCAAAAATCGTACTGAATCTCTACTTCATCATTTTAACAAAACGAAATGATTATGTAACGTGATATTATAATTTGATTCTCATTTGTTTCGAGGTACGGACAGACAGCCCTAATGCTTAAGCCCGGATAGACTTTATCGTACATAAAATTATAACGAGAAGGCGCGCGACTCAGCGTTTATTATGTGACAGCGGCTTATTTGTCTCGGAATTATACCAATTCACTCAGAGTATCTTATATATAAATAAGGGCATGTGGGAATCACCTAAGCCAACATTTATAGCTAAGTATGACTTTAGCAAGTTTTAATTAAGTTTGCTTAGTTCCTTTTGAGTGTTGACAAATATGTTGAAATATATAGAAATAGTGGGGTGACGATGGTGAATTTTCCTGAGAGAGAAATTCTATGCATTCTTACATAATTTTTTTATTACCACATAAAACTGACAAACCAACGGTATCCAAAATAATAAGGTAATTCGGTCAATGTTAGCTGGATGAGATTGTTTCACATTTTAAATAATATTTACTTATGAATTTCCCTAATAATTTATATAATTAATTACAGGCAAGTACAATTTGATGCATGGAAGATATATTGGTACTTAAAAGAAGTTATGAAAAATAGTCAAACAAGCATGCACATCAAGCGAAAACTTTTCAACACATGCATCCTACCAATTCTCACATACGGCTGTCAAACATGAGCACTTACCAAAGTACAATGTGAAAGATTAAGCTTAACCCAGAGAGCCATGGAAAGAAGATTTATAAATAACAGAAGATTTCACAAAATAAGTAACAAGAATTAGAAACAGGGTTTACTGACGTTAAATATAAAACAATACCACTAAAATGGAAATGGACTGGATATCCATTGGAGGAGCAGATAAATGGAGCAAATTTGTAACACTATGGCAACCAAGAGGCTATAAAAAAAACAGACGTTGACAATTTAAACGGTGGGCCGATGAAATCATGGAAATTTCTGGAAAGACTAAGACCTCGACGAGATTGGTATACAATAGTGAAAAATGGAGGACAATGGGGGAGGCCTTTGGCACACAGAATCGGTTATCATAGATTAAGAAAAGCAATAACTATATAATTTATACATTTTGTATTTCTGATAAAAGCTATAAATAAGTACAATTTGAACCACTGCATGATTGGACTTTTAATAATTGTATTTGCTCTATATTTTGAATATTTAGCTGGACTGGTCAACTGTAGAGAACTACACGAGAACTGTAGTAGCACGTACTCAATTGGCTTTAGTTTCAAAGTAGTGAAAACATCTGCCCGAAGCTGCTACACAGATGTTATGCTCTGCACGAGGATTTTAATTAGCCGTATGTCGAACAGTTTGGTTCTTCGGTTGCTAAGTTTTCAACTGAATGTATAACACCTCTACTCACGAAACAGTAGCACAAATGTAGATAAAAAAGGCATAAAAAGTGATTATGCTTTTAAAATATGTGTAAGTACTTATGAACCCATGTCGTGCACATATTGTACACATTAACGATATTTGACGATTGCTGCTACACGCATAACTTACCGTATTGAATAAATCTTGTGTGTAGTCCGCCAATAGCTTTTGCGAGTGCTGAATACTTGTGATATTTTATTCAAACGTTACTGAGCTGTTGAACAAATTCCCCGGCGTTTCTTGCATAAATCATCGCTTTTAGACGTGCCTTTCAAAATATTGCTAAAAGCTTCTAACTGAAGTTTTTATTTTAAATTTCGATTGATTTCACTAGCTTTTTTAGGTTTTTTTCTTATTTCATATGACAAATATTATTTTACTATTTGAGGCTTATAAGTATGATCATGTATGTACGATAAAGAAACCCAGAGGGAAAAGTGTTTATCATTTCTAATACTGCATATAGATTATAGATACCTACTAAAGCTGAAAGGCTCTAAATATGTTTTAATTCACATTAAAAAATACAATTATAAAAAGCATGATAAATAGAAGCAAGTGATCTAGACAAAATATAAACGTATTTATAATTCAGTCCACATAAATGTCAAGATTACAACGCTATCCCGTTTCTCGATATCAAACTATATGTCAATCAAGAACGTACACTTAATAAATGTTATCAGGCAGACCGATCATTGCTCTGAAGTTAGGTTTCAACAAAATTAGTCCAGCATAATTAGTCCCTTC